CTCTCTGTCCTGTCTCTGTCAACTCTGCGTTTCAAGTAAATGGAAAACAAAAACAAACAAAAAACCAGACCTTAAAAAAAATGTTATTTGGGAAACATAGAACTAAAAGATAAATTATTTTTAAAAAGAAGTTGCTGTAAGTAATCAGGACATGTTAATTATTGCAGCTTCAGAAAGACTGGTTAGTCGGAGCTGCAGCCTAGTTGGGGCAACTCCCAATAGCCCCCACCAGTTCTGCCCCCTACTCTGGTTCCCATGTTTGCCAGTATGTACTGCAGGGTTGTTCAGTCTGTCCCACATCCCATTTAGCTCTCGCACATGTCAGTGGGCATTGAAGCCTAGTGCAACCAAACCAACCTACTATCTAGCCCATACACCTATTGGCAGGTGCCTTTCCTGTCTGGCCACCCCTGCCCCTGTCCTGGTTTTCGTGCTGTCCAGTGAGAGTGGTAGCCCCAAGGGAGGTGCCCACTATTTCCCTTCTAGGCCACACCCACACCGATATTATGCGCTCTCCAGGTGGTTCTGGCATTTGACTTGACAGAATTAGCTCCCAGTGCTGTGCATCTTTCAACATGAACAGACTTTTTTTTTTAATTCAGATTTATTTATTTTCATGTTTTGGTTTTTTAAAAATCACTTTATGTTAGTGATGAAAATGGAGGAAGGAAAGCAAGTGGTTGGCAGGGGAGAGAGAACGATCAACTGGTTGTTCAGTCTGCTGGTTCATCATCTAGACGAATGCAGAAGCTGCAGCTGGATCAAGCTGAAGCCACCTGCCTCAAACTCCATCCGGTTCTTCCATTTGGGGGGCAGAGGCACAAGTACTGTGCCATCTTCTGCTTTTGCAGGCACTAGCAGGGAGTTGGAGCTGAAGCCACCTGGCTGGGACTTAAACCTGACCCTGATATGGGATACCAGCTATGTAGGCCAGGGTTACAGGTAGCAGCTTAACCTGCAGGATTGTATTTGTGGTAAGGAAAGGGGAGAATAGCTGTGGAGCAGGCAGGTTGAAGTCTGTTCTAGAATAAAGAAAGCAGCTTATAGTTCCATCTACAATTAGGAAAAGGCTTTTTCGTATATAACATTAACCTGCATTTGTTCTCTCCTGTTCTGAAGTTACATTTGTGAAGTAAGCATTGGTTTGTCAGTGGTTTGTGTTTGTCAGTATGGTCGTGCTTTGCATCATAACATTCTGCGTTTGCGAAGGTATCTGCCACATAGCCTAGGTGTTAAGTAGTCAGTTCTGTCTCGGTCTTTTAAGTGTGTAACATGAAGTTCACACTGTGAGATAGACTAAAGACACGTGTCTCAGAATGAATCCATATTAAGATGTGATAGACACCAAGGTAGCTTCTTTTTTGGTAGGTGTTAATTGCGTTATCTCATTTAAGCCTCTGTATTTTCCTCTCCTGGGGAGAGCAAACACATTAGAGGAGGCGTCAGTCTCACTTTGTATGTGAAGTAACTGAGAACTAAGAGAATAGTCATTTCCTGATTTGAGGATAGAATTATAGGACTTAGAATTTTATGCTTATAAAAAAAATCCTTGAGCTTTTTAGTACCAAGTTGGACGTTGCTTACTGTTTGAGCATAAAACCTAGACACATACATGTGCACACAGAGTAAAGCAGTGGGAAAAATGACCTGAAGTCGGGTGGCCTGGGTCAGGCTGTCAGTTCTGCCGGTCACAGTCCTGCTTAGCTTGTGTATGCTTTAGTTTTGTCATTTGTAAAATGAGGATGTTCTGCCTACTGTGTAAGGTTCTGTGACAAATGAAGTAGTGCCGATGTTAAATTATTATTATGATTTTTCATTATAGTTTTTTGCTTAAAATTAGTTTTCTTTGAAAAGTAGAGTTAACAGAAAGGAGGAGAAATAGGGATCTTCCATCTACTGGCTCACCCCCGTCCATGATTGCAATGTCCAGAGCTGGGCTGATCCAAAGGCAGGAGTCTGGAGCTTCTTCCGGATTTCCGTGAGGCAGGTGGAAGGAGCAAAACTTGGGGCATCTTTTGCTTCTTCCCCAGGCCATAAGCGGAAGTAGAACAACTGGGATTCGAACCAGTGCCCATATGGGATTCTGGCAGTTTAGGCAGAGGCCTAGCATACTACACCACTGTGATGACATCCTGTCTTCGTTATAGTTTAACATTGACCTTTCTTATATTCTCCATAGATGTGAAAAAAACTGAAGCAATTACTGCTTCTTATTTTAGAGGAGATTCTGAACCAATTTTAACACCATACATTTCTGGTGCAGTAGTAAATATACTTTTTTTTTAAAGCGATTTATTATTATTGGGCCTGGTGCTGTAGCCTAGTGGCTAACGTCCTTGCCTTGAACACTCCAGAATCCTATTAGGGTGCTGGTTCTAATCCCGGCTGTTCCACTTCCCATCCAGCTCCCTGCTTGTGGTCTGGGAAAGCAGTCCAGGATGACCCAAAGCCTTGGGACCCTGCACCCGAGTGTGAGACAGGAAGAGGCTCCTGGCTTTGGATTGTCTCAGCTCCAGCTATTGAGGTCACTTGGGGAGTGAATCATTGGACGGGTGATCTTCCCCTCTCTCTCTCTCCTCCTCTCTTATATCTGACTTTGCAATAAAAATGAAATAAATCTTGAAGCCACCCATTTTGTAATAATTTGTTATGGCAGCTATAGAAAGCTAGTACAGAGGAGGAACTGAGTTTATCCATGCTATCAACTTGCAAAAAATGCTCAAAAGGGTGATACGAATCAATTTTTTCCCTACCCATGATTTCAGCAAACTGGTAGGAAAGCATTTATCAGGTCTGTCATTTGGTAAATTTTATTATTTTTTAAGTAAAAAAATTATTATTATTTTACTGGAAAGGCAGATATAAGGAGTACGAGAAAGATCGTCTATCCACTGATTCACTCCCAAAGTGGTCACAGTGACCAGAGCTAAGCTGATCTGAAGCCAGGAACCAGGAGCTTCTTCCAGGTCTTCCACATGGGTGCAGGGTCCCAGGGCTTTTGGGCCATCCTCTGCTGTTTTCCCAGGCCGCAAGCAGGAAGCTGGATGGGAAGTGGAGCAGCAGAGACATGAACTGGCACCCATATGGGATTCTAGTGGATGCAAGACAAGGATTTAGCCACTAGGCTGTTGCGCCGGGCCTGATAAATGTTTTTCTACCAGTTTGCTGTATTGTAGGTCGGGAAAATTGATCTGTGTCACCCTTTTGAGGGGTCTTTTTTTGCAACTTGATAGCATGAATAAACTCAGTTTCTATTCTGTACTAGCTTTCTATAGTTGCTATAACCAATTACTACAAAATGGGTGGCTTCAAGCAAATTCATTATCTTATGGTTCTGCCTTATGGCTTATGGTTCAGAAGCCTGACTCAGGGCTGGGACTAAATCAGGTGTTGGCTGCTGTGTTACCCCTGCATCTAGGAGAGAAACTTTTCCTTTTCCTTCTGCACATCCCTGCCCTATGCCCGCCTCCCTCCGGCTTTAGGCACATGATGGATTAACTCTGTCTCTGATGCTCTGTTCCTAATGTCTTCTCTCTCCTCCAACCCCATCCTCCAGCATTTAGGAGCTCTATGATTACATTGGCCCATCTGGAGGAACCAAGATGACTGTCTCCATTGATCTGGTTTGCTTTTGTAAGCTAACTTAGTCACAAGTTCCTGTTAGTAGACAGAATTGTCTTCCAGGAGCTGTTTTTCTGTCTGCTATAGTTGCCGTCCTCCCTAAAAGAGGGAGCTTAGTTTAAACTAAAAAAATTGGGAAGTATTTGGTGTATGGGTACCTTCTGTGCAGTGATAAGTTGCAGTGTGAAAGGATCTGTGTAAATGGGGCGCAGGCTGTGAGGACACCAGGAACGTGAAGGGGAGGTGGTGATGCCCTCGGCCCAGGAGGAAGGGCTGACAGACCACAGCGAGGGCAGCTGGTGTCCCTGGTGTAAAGTGACTTGATGATGACATAGTACTAATGATTTTCCCATTTACTTTTCTTAACTTTTCTCTTGTCCATGCTTTACTTTTTCAGTGTGTTCAGTGGTACACAATTTATAGGCATTTGTGAATTTTTTTAGTATTTTATTCATAATATTTGAGTATCTTTAAAGTCTATGAAGGAAACCATATAAAAGTAAAAACAAATCACTGGGTGAATTATTTTCTGGTTTATTATTTGAATTTAGTTCCCCAGCTTGTTACTGGGGTCTCAAAATATTACACAAACGTTTTCACAAATGAGAATGAGAAATCTGATCTTTTTAGTTAATTTTTTTTTTTTTTTGCCACTTGTTTTTGTTTAGGTAGAGGTAAGACAAGAACACCAAAAGCTGGGGCACAATCTAGGTTTTTCAAGTAGGTGTTTTTTGAGCCATTACTGCTGCCTCATAGACTTTATTGGTGAGAAGCTGGAGCTGGGAATTGAACCCAGGCACTTGGATATGGTATGAAAGTGTCTTAGCCACGATGCTAAACAGATGCTCTCTATTCTGTCCTGTTAATAGGTTACTGGAACCCTGTGATGTGCCAGGCATAAACTGGCTCTGGGCAGCTGTGGTTAACTATAAAACTAGTCCCTTCCATCAGAGTTTATGTCTCTCATATTGAATATGATATTCAGATGGGTACTTTCGTGTATGTGTAACTGAGTGTGGGAGTCTCATTCCCGTAAATAATGGAAAAATCTGCAAATATTTCCTTGTTATTTTTTCATGTTTATGATTGATTAACTTCTCTGAAATATTTCAAATCAATTTGGTAACATACAATTGAAGTATAACTATAGCTGCTGTTTAACATAGTATAATGCTTCTTGTTATTTTAAATAAATTTTAGATTGCTTTTTGAAGTGAAATTTTGAGTAAGTACTATTTTTCTGAACTTTCCTTGGTTAATTTGTGGAGTCAGAGGCTTTAGTTTTCGCAAATAAAGTTTGCAGTGGCTGTATCTTGTATTGCTTAAAAATGTTTTTCACTAAGGAAGACCTGACGTTAATTTCTTATTTGATTTTTTAGGAATGTTTTAAAGGAAGCTGGGCTACTCACAAGTTACTACATAAGAAAGCAAGTAAGTGGGACCATGTGTCTTTACTATTTGGATATTTCTACTGTTTGTAAATGTATATATTGAAATGTACTGAAGCTGTATAATGACTTTTTGTGGTATGGTAGATACGCATGATAACAAAAGTGTGCCTGAGTAATATCTTTCTTAGTCTTTATTCACATGTTTAACTTGAAAACATGAGTTAACTGCTAAGATTCTTAAATCTTGCTTGGACAGTCTTAACACAGCTCTGCTCTCTTGGCATTCTGTTGCCTTTTCTAGAAGTGTTTGTACATTGCAGGCAGGGGGCATACTAACTATTTGGCTTTACTTTTGTTTATCTAGTTTCAATTCACATTGTTTTTTCTACTCAACATTATATTCCATCCAGCCTTCCATATTTGTGGGTTTCTCATCTGTGTTTTGAAAATATTTATTAAAAATGTCTGCACCGAATGTTTTGTCAAGGCTCTTTGACTAAGAGTTTCATTTCTGATTGTAGGGTGGGGGTCAGGCCTTGGAGCCAGTCCGGTGCAGATGCTGAGTGATGATTGCAGCTTGTTATTTCGTGTTTTAATGTTGTTACCCATAGTCTAATGGTTAGTTTTGTTTTTTGAGTTTACTTCGTGTATGTGTATAAAGTGAAACAGTTGACTGTTGCTTAGCTACTGTTGTTAGTCTTGCTCATACAGCTGTGATATAACTAATCTTTCTGCTTCAGCTGTTCCTGCATGAACTCGTACCATGATGATTGGCTGTGGCAGCCTGGTAGCTGGTCACAGTAGATGGGAGTAGACAAAGGGCATTCCCTGTTGAATGAAGGCTTGACCAGCAGCACATGTTTCTTAGTATAAGATTTTTGTTGCAGCTTAGTGATACTCATGCGGCTTACTGATATCAGCAGTTTACTGATACTCATATGCTTTGTTCATCGACTTGTGTATTTTTTTAGGAACTGATTTAATGAGCTTTGGTAAATTCTTTTACCAAGGCATATGTAATTCAGGTCAGTTAAATTGCCATTTGAAGGACATGGAAATAAAATAAGCTTTTTTTAACGATACACAAACACTTTCTGTGCTTGGATAAAGTAACTTTGTGTCTAATGATGATATAGGCTGTTTGGAGAGGAGATTTAGTCAGATGAAAATGATGTGAATGAATGAGGCTTATCAAGTACAAAAAGACTTGTTTATTCTGATTTGTTGCCACAAATGTAGACATAAGTTTAAATAAATGTTGTTAATACATTCATTACATGTTATATTTTTAATGTGTTAGATATTTTACAGAGCAGCAAAATACAAAGGATCATGGTTACACAGTAAGTAAGGGAGCTTAGGTTCTGTCTTGACCTCCAGGTTTGCTAGTTCATTGCAGTGTACCTGTGTCTTCAACACTAGATTTCTAAGTGCAGAGCTATTTCATTTTGGCCTGTATTATAAAAGAACTGAATAGCAGGTGTTCCCTTTGTGAAATGGACAATCAGTGTTGGTCTTGGCTGCTTGGATTTCATCTCCACTTCTGTTTAGTGCAGTGCCATCCTTTACATGGTGCCCTGTTGGATTTGGGGGAGCTAATTTTCATGACTGGCTGAACCTATTGCTCTTTATTCCTTTGGGACATATTGGATGCAGGTAGCCCTCAATTGGCCAGCTCCGTACCTTTCACAACCTAAGCAGGTTGACCCCAGGACACTACTGTGGGTGATAGACTTAGAGAAGGGCATAGTGTGGAGAAGGATGAGCTCTAAAGCAAGAAAAGTATCAAGAATCATATTAGGGGAAAAGATTCTTGAGTTCAAGGTCTAGGGTATCTTAAAAGGAGATTGGAGACAGTTGTCTCATCCGCTTTTCCCCCGTTTCTCGACCCTCCCCACCCTAATCTGAGGTCCACATGAGTACGCATCTCTTTCAACTCTGTAAACATCAAAAAAATGAAAAAAAAAATTTTAAAGATGATGTTTTGATTCTTATAAATGCTGGTGAGAATAGAGCAAGCAATTCTCCTAAACAGAACATGTAGACTCTGGGTTTTGTTTTAAGTGTAGTATGCTGGTTTCTGACTAAGGCTGCCTGATTTTAATTTGGCATATTGATGTATAATAGGCTGTTAATGTCTTTGCCTAATTTTGTTATTGGAGTAATTCTGGTTTCATAAATTAAGATGAGAAAGTTTTTTTCTCTCATATTTTAGAGGAGAATATGACATTATTGGTATTATTTCATTTTTTAGAAGATTTATTTTTATTGCAAAGTCAAATATACAGAGAGTGGAGAAGAGTCAGAAAGGAAAATCTTCTGTCCAATGATTCACTCCCCAAGGGACCACAGTGGCTGGAGTTGTGCCAGTCTGGAGCTATGCCGATCTGGACCTAAGAGCCAGGAGCTCTTCCGGGTCTCCCAGACGGGTGCAGGGTCCCAAGGCTTTAGGCTGTCCTGGACTGTTTTCCCAGGCCATGAGCAGGGAGCTGAATGGGAAGTGGAACTGCCAGGATTAGAACTGGCGCCCATATGGGATCCTGGCGTTCAAAGCGAGGACTTAGCCATTAGGCCACGGCGCTGAGCTCTATTATTTCATTTTTAAATGTTTAATAGAGTCTGTATGTGAAACATGGAATTTTCTTGACTGCAAGAGCTTGATTTTTTTCTTCAGACTGCAAGAAGTGCTGAAGTGTGAATAACGTAAATGACCTTGATGGAGTGTTTCTGTGTCTTACAGCAAGGACAGCCAGTCTGATTGTCAGGCCATGAAGTGAGAGCATGTGTAGCAATACTTGGGTGCATATTTCCTACATTGTGGCTTCTGGCAGAGTGTGCACCCTTAGTCTGATCTGTGAAAGTTGTAGCACTGCACAAGTCAAGATTATCATTCTACACTAAGTGAATCACTGATTTTATTGTGTTTCTTTGTCTCCGACTTCTCTGAAGTAAATGGGGGAAGAGTATGACCTTGTTTGAGTAGCCAAAAGCATGATATAGATATGCTGTGCTTTTAAAAGCTGCAACTAACAATTTTTCTTCTATTGCTCTGCTCCCAACTATTCCCCTGAACTGCAATCATGGATTGTTTCTTTTTTTCTTTTTATTTATGTAATTTTAATTTTATTCTAAATGCATAGAAAGACATACAGAGACAGATAAAGATCCATCTTTGATATGCTGTTTTACTCCCCAAATGCTATGAATGGACCAGGCCAAAACCAGGATTTTGGGACTGGGGATACTTGGTGCCTAGCCGGATCCCAACTGGGACTTCTGTACTGTCCTACACTGCTGCCCTATTTACTTACCCTTTAGATATAACCAGCAGGTTATTGAAATCATAGGCTTATTCTATGGACTAAATAAACAAACTAAATAAACAAATTCATGTAAAGTGAATATAAGTGCCCATTAACCATTTCATTATTATTTTTATAAGAATTTGATCAGAAAATCCTGTCCCTATGAAAGTATTCATTTTCTGTGATTTGCAGAAGCAGCCTATAACTGAGTTTTGGACAAGTTCTTGCAAGTATCAGGCATTACCTGTTATACTGTGATGGTTGAAAGACTACCTACTAGTGTTTATTTACAGTGTTCTACCTGTTCATGTTTCTAAAAAATTATGCAGTTTGCCACCAATCTCAGCTCAGCTCAGATTATAAATCTATTATGTCTATTATTTAAGGCTCAGATCAAATTTAGCCTAAAAATGTTACATAACTTTGTTTTCAAGTGTACATTTCTGTAAGTAAATCATACCTAGGTTTGAGTACAGAACTTGTGAAATTTCAGCTTGCTTCTCTAGGCTTCTTTCATTTTAAATTATTGTTCAAGATCTTTGAATTCTCTTGAAAATAGATTGTGGAAGGATAGGAATGCAGATCAACAGAAAGTTGTGGATGGTATTACATCTTTGCATTCTCCCTGCTCATTCCTCAAGAGCGTTCTGAGGCAGAAACCCTGTGTCTTCATTTCTCCTCTGCCTTACATTTCATGGGAAAGTTTTGTTCCTGATGTTCAAAAATGTGTTATTTTCTAGAGTAGTGTGAATGAATAGATTGGTTCTATCTTTGTGTGCTTGCCAGTTGTTACCTCAAAGTGCTTTGATTCGGCAAAGGAAATGAACAGGCATTTTCAAAAGAACAGATTCAGATGGCTAACAGACACTGTAAGATGCTCAGGTTCTCTAGCTGTTAGGGAAATACAAATGAAAACCACGTTGAGGTACCACCTAACTCGAGTGAGATTGGCCTACATTCAGAACTCAACATCACCTGTTGGTGTGGATGTGGGGAGAAAGGTTCCCTCCTTCACTGCTGGTGGGAGTGCAGGCTAGTCCAACTGCTATGGATATCAGTATGGAGAGTGCTTAGAGAATTGTAAATAAACCTGCCAAATGACCCATCTATCCCACTCTTAGGTATATACCCAAAGGAAATGAAAACTACCTATGGCAAGGGGATCTGTAATCCTATATTTACAGCAGGACAATCTACAATAGCAAAGGCATGGAAACAGTCCAGATGCCTGTCCAAAGAGAAGTGGTTGAAGAAACTGTGGTATATCTACGCCATGGGATATAACTCAGAATATAAAAAGAAGGAACTTATACCATTTGCAACTAGAAGATCCCAACTAAGGACTATCATGCTCAGTGAAATAAGTCAATCCCAAAAGGACAAATACCATGTTCTCTCTAATATAAGGAAGCCCATCGTGCAAATTATGTTCAATAATCCTTCCCATACTGTTTTTACTGCATCCCGTGTTTTTTGATGTTTTTGAATTCATTTTCATTTCTTCCAGTTTCTTTTCTCTTGTCAATTTCATCGCTAACTCATGGATTTCACGGTGGCATCATCTTATCCAAGATGCTTTTGTGTTTTCTTTTTGTTATCCATGCATTGGTTTTGCAGTGGCATGTTTTTTCGACTCCATGGTCCTATAATTTTTTTTGTTTTGTTTTGTTTTTGTTTTAACTTCATTCCTGTTGTTGACTTGGTTTCATGACTTCTCATTTAAGGGAATGTGTAGTGATGCATGGTAGAGACTACCATATCTAGCTGTGACGATACAATGCAGTGTGCATCCCTACTTCAAAATCGAAGATGGACTCTCAATGAAACTATTGGAAATTGTAGCCAATGGGATGCTAGACTGTCTGACATCTGTACCAGCAGTGTTAGGGCACATTTAAATAACAGAATGATGGACTTATGACTCCTTATGAAGGTCTATACTATTGTGATAATATGGGGTAAATCAGACAGAGGTGGGAATTTGGGGATGGGGAGAAATCCCAGATCCTATGGAATTGTACCATACAATTAAAAAAATAGTTCTTTGACCCCCATATTGACTCTGTGATGTGCAAGAGTATAAATTGAAGCAGGTATTCTTGTCACTTTCACTTCAGAATAAGGATAAGCTAGACTAGTTTGTTACATTATACCAGCTATCCATTTTGTATTTTAAATAGTTTAATAGAATTAATTAATTTAATAGAATTCACTCTTAATATCTTTTCTCAGTTGAGAAGATTTTGTTAACTTACAAATCATATTTTTAAAATGACCTTAAAAATTGACATTGTAGAGAGAATATGTTTAGTGTTTACTTGAAAACTAGTGACTATAATGGAAAAGTAATAGCTTTGATGATTTACAGTGGACATGTGTTGGATTTTTGTGTATGTATTCTTGGGCTTTGTTTTCAAAACATGTGCTAATCAAAGTGTGCTACATCCAGTTGCTTAATCATTGAAGCATTCCTTTCTCTTATTCTGCCATCTGTTTGCTGCTGTCTACCCATCTCCCAGAGGATGAAAAAGCAAAACGAGAAGTGTCTTCCTGGTCTATGGAGGGTGATATTAACACTGATCCATGGGCAGGTTACCGATATACTGGTAAACTCAGACCACACTATCCACTGGTGAGTAAATAAGGTAATGAAACTGAACATTCATTTAAAGGGTACCTATAATTTTTATTCCTATGGTAGTGAATCACAGGATCAGGATAGAATTTGCGGAAGGACTTGCATTCTAGCTTTTAGCTCTTGTGGGACAATGTTTGGGAGTCAGTAGGGACAATTGGCAATCTTGGGAAAAGTGGGAGAAATTTTAGATGAAGGGATTAAAACTTTTTAGATTTTAAAATAGTGTTACATAGTCATATAGATAATTCTGGCTGGCACGATGATTATGTATATTACTCTTCTTTTGAAATTTCTTCTTTTAAATTGACTTCACTTATATGAAAGGCAGAGAAACAAATTCCCCAATCCTGCTGGTTCACTCCCCTAATGACCACAATAGCTGTATAAGCCCAAGCCGGAACCAAATAAAAGTCCCCCAGAAAGACAGCAGGAACTTGGTACTTGACTCACCACTGTTTCCTCTGAGGGTGTGCCTTACCAAGTAGCTACAATCAGGAAGAAAGGCCCTCTGATATGGGATGTAGACCTCCTAGGAAGCACCTTAACCCACAACACCAACTCCTGACCTTCGTTGTTGAAACATTTTAAACTTGTATTTATTCCTGCCTTAGTTTACATTGATAGATTTTCTGCAACTCCTGTTCCTTTCTATGATCTTTAGATAGGACTTAGAGTTTTACTTATTTTATCACTTTTTTGTATGTAGGCTATACCTTTTATTAATATTACCTGATTAAACTCCCATGATACATTAGTCTGTTTCACAGATGAGGAAATTGGGCTGAGTTTAAGTTATTTGCCACAGATCACAATAATGATAAGGGGCAGATCCAGGGTTAGAGTGTAGAAAATCCAGCTCCAGAGGACTCAGTTATAATACAGAAATTCTCTTATGTTGTACCTCATTTTGCATTCTTCAATATTTAAATTCTTTTTTTAAAGGAAATTTTGAAAAAATATCAAGTATCTTAAGATTCCTTAAGCCAGCCTCCCAACATTAGTGACTCTGGGCATACTGATGTGTGTTTACTTCTGGGTACCTTGTTAGTTTGTCAGTTTGAACCAACACAGGAGTGTGTTTTGTGGGGTATCTAATCTTAAATCCTTAGTGGTCTTTCCTTTTGTAAAGTTAGTAAGAAAAGGCTAGCACAAGGTAAAGCTTAGTCTTTGTGTACCAGATTTGTCTTACAGTATTTTAGATGTCATTTACAACATTTTTTCATTTAAAAACCTAAGTGAACTTTAGTATTTTTTTTGAATTTTATTCTGTCAGTAATTAGTATATGACTTACCTCTTTCATGTTTTTAGATGCCAACAAGGCCAGTGCCAAGTTATATTCAGAGACCAGATTATGCTGATCATCCCCTAGGTAAGTTTTGCTGCAGTTTGCAGTATGTTGACTTGATGGCTGCTGTGAAGAGTCCATTTCCTGTAGAAAAGGTTCAGTACTGGAATTCTACTAAACATGATCTTTGTTCTCTTAAGTGATATTAGAACACTGAGAGTAGATCCACTGTTTTGAAATCTACCCAGTTCTGAAACATTGTTTATTTAGCTGTTAATAGACTCCAAAATAACACTGTATTTTGTGTGGTTATAGCATCCTCTGCATTTAAGTTAAAACAAGCACGTCCAGATTTGATTTTTAAGATATCCTGCCTAAGTTTGTAGTTAGGTTAAAGCAGATTGTAGAGGTCTGAGTGAGTGCCTGCCTAAAGATTTTGGACTGTAGCAATAATAGAAATGCTAATAGTAGCATGGATAATGGTAGTAATGATGAAGATCCTGCTGCTGCTGCTGATGCTTCTTTAATAGTAACTGGTATTTATTTTTGCTTAACTGTGTGTCAGGCACTGAGCTAAGTTCTTTTGTACGTGTTACTCCATTTAACAGTTGCAGCATTCCTGAGGTAGGTCCTGTTGTCTTCTCCATTTTATAGCTATGGTAGTGAGATACCCAGAGAAGACAGGAATTAACAACTTCGGCGCAGTTTCTTACCTCAGGGTCTCACAGTGTAGTTTATGTAGGATTGTGTGAAATAGTTGAGTTTACATGTCCAAAATGGTTGAACAACAGCAACTTCATGTGATTTCATCTGCTTTGGTAAGCTGCCTTTGTTTGGTTCTGTAGATGAAGAACTGCTTCTTATAAATATAATTTTAAAACTTAAACTGCATTATTTCAGGTATATGAAAGAAAAAAATATTGAAGTTTGAATGATAACCTTTTATTGATATGTATTTCATTGTTGTCTAATTTTCTTGAATAAAATACATTGGCTTGTATTTTAAAATACAGACAAGGTAAATTGTAATAGAATAAAATATCATGCAGTGAAAGGCAAGTCCTACTCCTAAGACTAGTGAACCAGCTATTGCTAGGTTGTTGCACAACTTTCTAGACAGAATTCATGTATACACACATTTAACTTTCTTTTCTACATTTCACTACAAAAGAAAACACTATATACACCTTTTTGCTTTGCTGTAGTCTCTATATATCTTAAAAACATTTCATATAATACCATATAACACCATTTCTCTTTTTGTTTTTGTTGACTGAAATATTCCATTGTGTGAGTCTATCACAAATTACTAAAGCTGGCTCCCACTCACTAATGGATGGTTAGATTATTTCCTGTCTTATCAATTTGCAGTAATTATTCTTTCATTTACATTTGTTTGCCTGTGAGAGTATGTCTTTGGATGAACCTAAAGTGGAGTAATTAGGTCAGTTTTGATTTGCTTCTAGAGATTTTGGACACTTTACTAATTGCTGCTCCTATTGAAAACAGCATAATGTTTTGTTATGCATATAGTCTTTGCTAATCTGAGATGAAAGAAAGGTGTTTAATTGTTATTTTAATGCACATTCTTGAGTATACTGTCATGTTTAAAGTTATTTGGAGTTTTTCTATCTTTTTGAATTATTCATATCTGTAGCCTTCTCTATCCCTGTTAGATTATTAGTACCCCCAATATTGATCTGTAGAGGTTCATTTTGTATTAAGAACAATAGACTTTATATATATATGCACTGAAGTTTTTTTCTCAATTGACCATTTACATTTTGTTACTGTATATATAACTTTCAACATTTTTTATGTAGTAAAGTTTATCAGTGTTTTAAAGATGTTTGTTTGGGGCCCGGTGGCGTGGCCTAGTGGCTAAAGTCCTTGCCTTGAACGCACTGGGATCCCATATGGGCGCCAGTTCTAAATCCGGCAGCTCCACTTCCCATCCAGCTTCCTGCTTGTGGCCTGGGAAAGCAGTTGAGGACAGCCCAGTGCTTTGGGATCCTGCACCCACGTGGGAGACCTGGAGGAAGTTCCTGGCTCCTGGCTTCAGATTGGCGCAGCACTGGTCATTGCGCTCACTTGGGGAGTGAATCATCGGATGGAAGATCTTTCTCTATCTCTCCTCTCTGTATATCTGACTTTAAAAAAAAAAAAAAAAACTTTAAAGATGTTTCTTTGGCCTTGTGACCTAGAAAAACCTTTTTGGTTCAGAGGTTACAAAAAATAATTTCCCATGTTTTCTTGTAATATTTGCATGATTTTGATTTTGTTGTGTGTATGATAAAAGTTTGTTATCTGTCTGAAATTCATTGAATATGAGTAGATAGAGGACATATGACTTGTTTTCCCTCAGGAGAAAGCCAGGTGTCATCATAGCTACTGTGAAAAGCAGTGCTGTTTGTAAGCAGCCTGTAATGCTGGTTCTTGGCTTGAGAGTGTGTCACCGAGTTAAAGTTGAAACTGACCGTTTTATCAGAAGTGTTTCTTTCTAGATGATCACTTACTTTTGTTTTCTTAATTAAGGGCAATGATGAATTAAATGCTTAGTTTTTGCTAAATTGAGCTATCTTGACCTCTTCTGTTTGCTGATATTTCACTTGAAATTCTTTTATCAGTTACTTTATAAAGATTTGTTGATTTTTATATTAATTTTGTCATATTTTCAAATAATTGCTTTACTGACTTACACTTGAATGTATGCAAGCTTTGAATTAAACTAATTTTATTAATAAGAATTCTTAGGGGAGTATTTTTCAGACTTCTTTGACTATGTCAAAGTAAGACATGGGTTTATAACAAGTATGACAGCAAACATTTCAGAGCAACATTTATCCTTATTCTTTATGATACTTGTATTTATTTATTCAAAAATTAGTGTCTGTAAATTGTGACATTGCAATTTGAAAAACACTGACTTGGATTTCTGTTTCAAAAAAATAGATATGTCATTTGTTGGTATATATGCTTCATTAGATGGTGATCATGAAATCAACTTGAAAATTGTTTGCCATTCAGATGTCAGTCATGCTCTGAGTTTGTTAGTATACTGAGGCAGATAATGTATGCTCTGTAAGTACTGGCTGATTTCTAGCAGATAGAAAGTTTGTTCTTTAGAATTCTTCGTTCAATTTGTAAAGTCAATTTCTTTTTTTGTTGAATATTTTTAGAAAAAAGCTAACTGGATAATCTCTGATGATGAAATATTGTGTGATAGACTGGATTATTATGTTATCTGGGTTATGATTCTGCTAATAAATGCTATGTGTTTGTTAACTTTCGTTTTGCTTACTGATTTTGTATTGCAGGTATGTCTGAATCTGAACAGGCTCTTAAAGGCACTTCTCAAATTAAATTGCTCTCAGCTGAAGATATAGAAGGGATGCGACTTGTGTGTAGGGTAAGAATTGTTTTTTTCCTATAGGGTGGGGCATGTTTAAGGATGGATGTAGACGCAGACACAGTCAGTGATCCTGTTGCTTTATTAAGGTTGATGGAAATGTCATAAGGCTGACAAGCCATAGTTGTTTCAATAGGTTTTTTTTTTTTTAAGGATTTTATTTGTATTGGAAAGTCAGATATTCAGAGAGCAGGATCTTCCATCCACTGGTTCACTCCCCAAGTAGCTACAATGACCAGTGATAAACCAATCTGAGCCAGAAGCCAGGGGCTTCTTCCAGTCTTCATGTGGATGCAGGGTCCCAAGGCTTTGGGCCATTCTCTGCTGCTTTCCCAGGCCACAAGCAGGGAGCTGGATGGAAAGGAAGTGGAGCAGCCAGGACACGAACTGGTGCCCATTTTGAATTCCATTTGATGCAAGGCGAAGTCTTTAGCCACCAGGCTACCATGCCGGGCCCCCATAGTTTTTCAAATATTTAATTTTTGGTGGATGATGTATATTTAGTTGATATTTGTATTACTGTTTATATATTTAATTTTAGAAGAACCAGATTTTTGTGATATTTTGTTGCTTTGTGTATTCATAGTTACAGGACAAAGTTTAAGGCTCGTATTAAAGATCCTGTTGTAAAATATCTCAAGTTTACGCTAGTAACTATTGCCAGATAAAATCACATCTATATTCTTTAAAAAAAATAATTGGTAGTTTTTATCTAGATGTTAAATTTAAGCTTTTTATGCAGCACTTTGTTTAAAAGTTATTTGATATGTTTTCCTTTTTTGTTAATTTAAAAGAGTTAGTGTTCTTATAATTTGCTTGCTGTGATTCATGCAAGAAATTCACTTTTTTTTTTCTGCTTCCATCCTGTACCATTACAGAAATATGAGAAGATTCAGTCTTTAATCAGTTGGTTCCTTAGGATGTATGTTTATTTTGCATAAAAATTGGGGTGGCTTACTTAGTAACTTGCTTACTAGTTTGCTTAATTTTTACAGATAATTACAGATTCATTTTACTAGTCTTTCAGAGTCTAAGAAGTACAGATTTCTGGTTCTCTGTCATTTTCTTCTGGATGTGTTTTCTTTTACAGCTTGCTAGAGAAGTTTTGGACATTGCTGCAGGGATGATCAAACCAGGCGTTACTACTGAGGAAATAGATCACGCTGTGCACTTAGTAAGAAGTTCTGCTTTACTTTGGAAAAGAAAATTCACATTATTAGATATTTTTGATTTCTAAAACTTCAGTATATTTAAATTCTGAATGTTTAAGGTAACTTGGCTAAAGTAATTTGAAAGCAGATTTTTGCTTTGTTACAAATATGGAAAATGTTCCTGTCTTTAAATGCTTGTGACAAGATCTGAGGTGAGGTTGAAAGATCTTGTTTCTGAAACCTTGTGTTTGTTAAGCATTTCAGTTGAGCATTTATAAAGTGATTCATTTTATCAGTTCCAACGTATAAATAAATCATGACAATGTATACATCAAGTAGTTCAAAATAAGAATATGACTTCAGAAGAAACAAGTGTTCTCTTTATTATCCACGGTTAGCAAGCTGTTAAATAGACCGCATATGTAGTCCACATGCAGTATGTGCAATGCCGGAGCTACTTTCATCCAGAAGCACAGGTTGTTGATAGACTCTGGGAGAGGAAAGTAAACATTAATGTGAAAAGATCCTTTATGAAGGAAGAATGGTAGCTAGGTACACATTTACAAAGTGAGTTGAGCCTATTTTTGTATTCAGATATGATCTATAAAACCTGGTAGTTTTGTGTTGTCGCGATGTTTATATTCATTGTATGTGCAGAGATGATGCAAATACTCTCATAGTCTTGTTTATTGTTGGGATTATGTATTAGGACAGTCGTTTTGAAAGAATGTGATTATATGTCTTAAGATGCAAAAATAATTATAAATCATTTTACTCTAATTTTATGAATTGTAATTTTTAAGGTATTGTTCATGTTTTGTAAAATGTGCAGCATACAGGACTAGCATTTTGAGTGTTTCATATTGACCAAGTACTACTTTGAGTGTTATTTTTATATTAACTCATTTAATATCCCAAATAAACTCTTGAGTATAGGTATTGTTATAATCCCCATTTTACAGATAAGGAAACTGAGGAGATGTTAAATTGTCCATGTTATGCAATCTTTTAAATTTTTTCTGATGTTTATTTCTTTATTTGAAAGAATTGCAGAGAGAGAGGGAGAGGAGACAGAGCTCTTCCTGCATTAGTTCACTCTTCAGATGATCACAACAACTGGGGCTGAATTAGGCCGAAGCCAGGAGTTTCTTCCAGCTTTCTGGCGTTGGTGGTGGCAGTGCTTATCCTTGGCCTATTTCCTGTTGCTTTCCTAGGCACATTAGCAGGGAGTTGGATTGGAAGTGGAACAGCTGGGACACAAACTGGCACTCAAACTGATGTCCATATGGGAAGCTGGCATTGCAGGTAGTGGCTTAAGCTGCTTGCTCCACAATGCTGGCCCCATGTCACACAGCTTCTGAGTGATAGAGTTGACATGTTCAGCAAAGACTAGTTTGATTGATTGATCGTGCTATGAGCTGTTTATACTACTGTAAGAAATGCAGAATTAATTCTCTAAGGGAACAGCCACAGGCATGTAGTCACTGGTGTAAGTTTTTTTTTCTTTTTTTTGTAATTCAGGAAATTTTAAATTAATTTAGATTTCCAGTAAAAGTGGAATTGCTGGTAAAATTATGGCAGATTTCACAGATGGTACTTTATGCAACCATTAAAAAATTATTAGCCTGAAGACTGTGGCAGTATGAAAACAGAAGTGATATAAGCTGTGATTACCCCAGGGTAGAAATATCCAAGTGTGATAAGTTTTGTTGTGGAAACTAGACTGTTTTTTCTCAGCATCCTTTATTATTCCACTAAATATAATGATTAAAATGTCTCTGGAAGTACTTTGCCATTTGTTAATTATACTGGTATTCATGTTTTTATCATAGGGATATTGGCTAATTTTTCTACATGAGATTACAATTATATTAAAATGCTTATTATTTCCTTTAAAGATTTATTTTTATTATTTTTCTATTGGAAAGGTGCCCTTTAAATATATCTTTTAAGGAGATTTTTTTCACAAACAGTAGGGGTTTTTTATAGGTTTTTTTTTTATAGGTTTTTTTTTTTAAAGATTTATTTATTTTTATTACAAAGTCAGATATACAGAGAGGAGGAGAGACAGAGAGGAAGATCTTCTGTCTGATGGTTCACTCCCCAAGTGACCACAACGGCTGGTGCTGTGCTGATCCGAAGCCAGGAGCTAGGAACCTCCTCCAGGTCTCCCATATGGGTGCAGGATCCCAAAGCATTGCGCTGTCCTCGACTGCTTTCCCAGGCCACAAGCAGGAAGCTGGATGGGAAGTGGAGCAGCCGGGATTAGAACTGGCGCCCATATGGGATCCCAGTGCGTTCAAGGTGAGGACCTTATCCGCTAGGCCACGCCGCCGGGCCCGATTTATTTTATTTTTATTGATAAGTCAACTATACAGAGAGGAGGGGAAACTGAGAGGAAGACCTTCCTTCTGTTGACTCACTCCCCAAGTAGCCACAACGGCTGGAGCTATGCTGATCTGAAGCCAGGACCCAGGATCCGCCTCCAGCAGTTGTTTTAAAATAAACTGTTCGTGTAGTAAAAATTTGTACAAATAACATGTAAATTTTATTTCAAACTCGTCACCAAAAAACTGGTATGTATAACAGTGTATCCAACCAGAACCAGCCTTGTTATGTTAACAATATGTAGTACTACTTTTTTCTTTTTGGTATTTATTTTTATCTGAGTGGCAGATTTTGCAGAGAGAGGAGACACACGGAAGTCTGCAGTCTGCTAGTTCACGCCCCAAATGTCCACCATGGCAAGGGCCAAGCTGATCTGAAGCTGGGAGCCAGGAGGCTTCTTCTGGTATCCCACATAGGCGCAGGGTTGACGCCTTGGACCATCCTCAGCTGCCTTCCCAGGCAAAAGTGTAGAGATGGATCGGAAGTAGGGTAGTCGGCACTCATGGAATGCTGGCACCCAGACAGAGGATTAATGTGATATACCACTGTGCTGATCCCAAGGACTGTTTCTCAAATGAAATACTAAATTTTTTTAACATCTGCCCAAAAGTTTTCAAATTTTAAAAGCTGAATCACCGGGTACATATTTTTTTCTTCACATTCAAAATTGTCTTTTCTGCGTTTTAATTCATTTTAGGCCTGCATTGCAAGAAATTGCTATCCTTCTCCCTTGAATTATTATAACTTCCCAAAGTCTTGTTGTACCTCAGTGAATGAAGTCATCTGCCATGGAATTCCAGACAGACGGCCCTTGCAAGAAGGTGATATTGTTAATGGTAAGAAATATGTACATAGGACTCATGGTGATGAGTAAGCAAACAGTAAGGTGTTAAAGGCTGAGCATGGCCTGTTTTCTGAACTTGCTTCTTACACTTACTTGTCTAAAACTCAGCATCTTTCTCAAATCTACAAAACCCTCCTTTAAAGTTTTGTGCCAATTATAGGACTTATTTGTTGATATAAACTAGTTAGAAATGGGAGAGACAAGGCTGGGGGTGGGGAATGGCAAGAGAGGAGGAGGAAGGAGATATGCCTCCTTCATCTGCTATTCCTCTAAATGGCTACAACAGTCAGAGCTGGACAGCCAAAGCCAGGAAGTTGAAATTTAATTTACGTCTCATGTGGGTACAGGGACCGAGGTGCTTAGACCGCCTTTCACTGTTTTCCCAGGTGTATTAGCAGGGAACTGGATGGGAGGTAGAACAGCTGAAACTTGAGCTGGCACCTATATGGGATGCCAACCTTACAGGCAGTGGCTTATTCCACTGTGTCACAATGTCAGTGTCTGTATATGTTTCTTTTAAGATACTTTTAGGGGCTGATACAGTGGCTTAACTGGCTAATCCTTTGCAAGAGCTGGCATTCCATATTGGCACAAGTTTGTGTCCCAGCAACTGCACTTCCAGTCTTGCTCCATGCTTGTGGCCTGGGAATGCAGAGGAAGATGGCCTAAGTTCCTGGGCCCCTGGGCCCATATAGGAGATGTGGAAGAAGCTCCTGGCTCCTGGGTTTAGATTGGCTCAGCTCTGACTGTTGTGACCATTTGGGGAGTGAAATTGCAAACAGAAGGCCTCTCTCTCTGTCTCTCTGTAAATGCCTTTCCAATAAAAATAAATGCACCTTTAATATAGTTTTCCTGTTTTTCTTTAGTAGTTATTATCTCATAAGATAAGTAGGTGAAAGATGTGACATGTGGAAGTAATGTTGTAGTGTGGGTTTTTTAAAGATTTTAAAGTCAGAGTTACAGAGAGAAGGAGAGACAGAAAAATAGGTCTGCCATCTGCTGGTTTACTCCCTGTATGACTACAACAGCAAGAGTTGAGCTGATCAAAGACCAGGATCTTCCTCCAGTTCTCTGGGGAGAACTGAACCCATAGATTTTAGCTGCCCCGTGGTTTTCCAAGGCCATGTGTAAGGAACAGGACTGAAAGAGAAGCATCCAAGGGGCCCGGTGTGATAGCGTAGTGGTTAAAGTCCTTGTTTTGCATGTGCCAGGATTCCATGTGGCCGCCGGTTCTAATTCTGGCAGCTCTGCTTCCCGTCCAGCTCCCTGATTGTGGCCTGGGAAAGCAGTCGAGGACGGCCCAAAGTGTTAGGACCCTGCACCCTGTGGGAGACCCGGAAGAGCTCCTGTCTCCTGGCTTTGGATTGGCTCAGCTCCAGCCTTTGCAGCCACTTGTGGAGTGAACCATCAGACAGAAGATCTTCCTCTCTGTCTCTCCTCCTCTCTGTGTACCTGCCTTTCCAATAAAAGTAAAAAATCTTAAAAAAGAGAGAGAGAGAAGCATCCAGGACCCTAACTGGTGCCCAAACAGGATGTCCATGCTGCACACTGAGTTCTAGCCAATTTTGCCATGAGGCCAACTCATGGTGTGATTTTACAACTCAAAGTAGTGTGATTTTAATTAATTTATTTAGAAAGAGAAGGATGAGATCTCCCATTTGCCAGTTTCCAAGCTTGCAATAGCTTGACTTAGGCTAATTTAAATCCAGGAACTTGACTGGGCTCACTCACATGGGTGGCAGCCCCCAGCTACTTGGAGGTGTTACCAGCTGCCTCCTGCGGCACCCATTAGCAGGAAGCTGGGACATTACCCCGGATACTTCAACATGGGTAAGGGTTCCCCAAATGGCATGTGAACTGCCATACCAAATTTCTCTCCCAAAGTAGTGTTTCGTTTTCTTCCCTCTGTCTCTTAAATATAGTGACTTTGAAGAGATGAGTTTTCTCGTTTGCAGAGACAGTGTCAACAATATAAAAGATCTTAAGAAAAAAGCTAAAAGTCTCATAGACATTCTGTTCCTGAGTAGAAATGGTTAAATTAAGGCCTCTGTTTTATTTCTTTCTTTCTTTCTTCATTTTAGAAGAGTAACAGTTCTATTTTATTAAATTACTGAGTTTCACATGTATATTTTTGTCTCCCCACCATTTCCACATCTGACCACCACTACTACTGTAAGACCTCTGTTTTAAAATCTTTGGGAAACTAAAAATATGGAAGGAACTGCAAAGACATTCCTCCATGTGATGATAAAACAATATTGATAGAGAAAACTCCTTTAGTTGATATTTTAAAGCCTCATTTTGATGAAATTCGTCTCTTCGTCATCGAATTACAGAAGAGATTTATGGATCAAGGGATGAAGCATGAGGCCAAGTATTACAGGCACCTGACTGGTGATGCTCGCTGTGAATGATGGTGGAGAATTAGCTGTGACAGTGGTTCTCAATAGTGTTGCTAACTGCTTTAGTTAGAGCGCTGTTTGTAAAATCCCATAGATCTTGATAAACCCTTTTTTTTTTTTTAAATCGTGAGGTTTTTTCAATACTGTGTTTTGAAGTAAGGCTGACATGCCTATCCTGCAGTATTGAGGTTGATTGAAATTCGGGAGTTAAAAATATTCGTTTAATGTGCTCTGTAAATACACCTTGTATATGTTTATTATAGTGATATTACAGTAGTGTTTTAGAGAAATATGAATATTCGCATGTAAATGAAAGGCAATTGAATTTTTAAAAATCCAATTAAGATTAATTTTTAAAATTAATTTTAAAAATTTAAAAACTAATTTTTAGAATTAAAAACAAATGTAGAGTTTTTTTAAAATCTGTTTGCATGTTCCCCAGAAGCAAGAAGAAACCTGTTCAATAAGTGAGAAAGTATTCCCTCTTTTATGCCAGAACATAACAAAGTCACTCTAATATTACTAACTCATGTTAGTTATTTTGTGTGACTGTATCCTGCATACATTTTTCTTGTGGCACCAGTGGTCTAATAAACAACATAGAAAGTCACCATCTGGCTTGTGCCCTGTGGCCATACTCCTGTTTTCCACAGTGGGTGAGTTACATTGCACTCCAGGAGTTTCTCTTGGGTCTGATTTGAAAATGTAATAGCTCTTTTCTTCATTAGGCTCTTGAAGCTCTCATATTAGGAAAACAGTGATAGCTTGGGATAAATAATGTTGTCTTCATGTTTGCACCTTCTTTTGCAGTGGACATCACCTTGTATCGCAATGGTTACCACGGGGACCTGAATGAGACCTTTTTTGTTGGTGAAGTGGATGAGGGAGCACGGAAGCTTGTTCAGACCACCTATGAGTGTCTAATGCAAGCCATCGATGCAGGTCAGTGCTGGGCGTCCGCTGACACTGCTGTGTGCGGAGGGGCTGGGGAGGACCGTGCTTTTGTTACCTGGGACTGTTCCTCTGTTTGAATTAGCTTTGGGCTTTAGCAGTGACAAGTGGAAGGGCGATTTGGGAATCCTGAGATGGGGATGGAGCAAGTAACTAGTTAGCATTCATTGCTCATCTATGACTTACCTTTCTGTGCTAGATGAATTGTGTGAAGAGTTTTGTAGTGATTTTGTTTCTGCCTTTTTCTATTCTTTGACCTACATAAATATGTTCTGATTATAAAAAATAAGCAGTTGAATATTATGAGAAAAAAATGAGCAACCCACCTTCAAGCTTACACTTTCCCTGTCTTCTGTTGAGGGATACTGTTAACGTCTAGTTTTTGCTTTCTCCTATGTGCTCACCTCACAAATACACAAACACATGTGTTATACATTTGGTTGGGTTAAATAGCACAATGCTGTCAGTGATGTTCTGTGATTTGGTGTTTTTGTGGGGATTTTTTGCTTTTTTTTATTTGGTGTTTTTGAGCTAGTAATAGTTTTTAAAACTTTCAGATTCACAGGTGTACCTACTTAACACAGATATATGCCTGTTCTGTTTGTTTATTCATTGGGAAGGCAGAGAGAGTGACAATGAAAGTCTGCAGTGTGCTTCCTTCTATTAATTCATTCTCCAAATGCCTGCAGTATCCAGGCTAAGCCGGCTGCATCTCACATGGGTGACAGTGGCCAAAGCACACGAGTCATGAACTGCTCTCTCCCAGGGTACATTAGCAGGAAGCTGGATCAGAAGTGTAGTAGCCAGGAATGGAACTGATACTCTGCAAAAGAAGCCGTAGTTCAGCCTGTTGTTAGTCCGCTCTTTAACATGAATGGGCAATGATATTTTTACTGATTTTATAAAATTGAAGAAATGAAAATGTGATATTTTTGTATATTAGCATGTAAAATTAGTTTTACTTATTCACTGTTAAGTATTTGAAAACTTTAGTGTTCTTGGTGCTATTGCGAGGTGAAAATTTTAGCATTTAGTATTTCTCTTTTTTATGAAACATTACCTATTTGAAAGATAGACATTACACAGGAGAGGGAGAGATGGAGAGAAAAAGAGACTCTTCCATGTGCTGGTTCACTTCCCCAAGTAGCTGCAGTAGCTGGGGCTGTCACAGATGAAGCCAGGAGCTTGCAGCTTCTTCCAGATTTCAAGTAGGTGCAGGGGCCTTAGTGCTAGGAGAGCCTGAGGCGAAGAGACACCCCAGTTTGATTTTTGTTATTGAAACAGTAATACGTGTAATAAAACTAAATATGATAGGAAATCCATTATGTACTTTTTAATATGGTACCCCAACATCTACTGCAGAGGCAACCTGGATAGATTGGGGATCGTTTTTAAGGGGTGCAGAAGTACAGGGGAAATAATTCTCGGAGAAGCTGACCAGGTGGAACCTGGAACCAGTCAAGTTGCTTTTGGACATTTGCTTTTCTGTTGCTGTAATGTTTTCCCACTTGGCCAGAGTAGAACACTTGACCTGAGGGAAGGAGCCAAAGAGAGCTGGTTTTCGTATTTTTTTCCCTCTATTGCTAGAGGAAGCAAGAAGATGCTTGTCCTCAACTCCTTCTTAATTTTGCAAAACATCCTTCTTTAGTTCCAGACTTTAGGCGCTACTGTTTGAAGCAAAGCTCTGCCGTCAGGCGGCCATGTGACCTTTTTGTGCCTCGGTCTCCTTGTTTTTCAATGAGAAGGCACACAGAACCTTTAGAAAGCAGAGGGATAGTATGCTTACCAAATGTTAGTTGTTGTTGCTCTACATCATGTGTCTTTTCTCTTCCTTTCAGTGAAACCTGGTGTCCGATACAGAGAACTGGGAAACATTATTCAGAAACATGCCCAAGCAAATGGGTTTTCTGTTGTACGAAGCTACTGTGGGCATGGGATCCACAAACTCTTCCATACAGCCCCCAATGTCCCTCATTATGCCAGTAAGTATTGTTCACAAAGGCTTTTAATGTGCTATTGATTTATTCAGTGGATACTAATCCAGATATTTAAGATGATATATTCTTTTGGAATCTTCAATTTGTCAGATATTTTTTTTAAAAAAAGCCCAAAATATACATTTCCTCATGTAAAATCTGAGTTTGTGCCTTGCTCCACGTAACAGTGTAAGGCGGGTATGTTTCACCACTGTGTGGTCAAGGCCATTGCTTTGTGACTAGAGCTCTTTATCCAGGGCTTTCGTGAACATCTTGGCTCTCAGCCTTCTTGTCAGCAAATAGTGTGGGCAGCAAGGGGGAGGGAGAGAAGCTTGGAGGAGGGCTGTACTTGAGGGGTTTTAATGAGGCAGCCCGGATGTGGCATAAATCACTGACATTTATTTCATTTGTCAGGATTTCAATAATGTAGCCATGTCTAGCTACTGGGGAGATTGAGAAATGTAATTTAGCTTAAGCTTTTGAAGAAAAGCAAATTAATTTTGTTGAAAAATTAACACTACCCCATGTGTCTGGCTTTCAATATTCTGATTCCTCTGGTAAAACCAGTTCTGTTTTACTTGATTTGAGTTCTTACTATCTGTGTGGTCTGTACAGTTCGATGTGTAGACAGGGAGGAATAAGCACCTGGCCTCAGATTGAAAGCTGTAAGCTGGAATCTAACAGGAAGTATCAGGACAGTGTCTTCAGCGACCTGTTCTCTGCAGAGAGGACTTGTGCAGGAGTGAGGCTGTTAGCTCAAGTGCCAGAAATGAAAGCTTTCTATCCTAGTGACCTGGGAAGAGTCACTGAGCCTTTGCCAGTGTAAACACTTTCTTGAATTTCTGCTATTTATGTTTTTTTGATCTGAACAGTAGGTGGGGATTAATACCTTAATGGAATTGTTACAATAATTGAGATCATACAGGAAAAACACATAGGACATCACATGAAAATGGTACATGAGAGGTCGCTAATGTGTAGCTTTGGAATGATGATGATGATGATATCCCTTATCAGTCACTCGGTTATCATTCCTTTTATAGAGTAAGAATACCTATTCTGATTCCTGTAGGATGTGTGTGTACATGTGTTGTGAATACGTGCAGGGAACACAGACAGTGGCCCTTACAGAGGCAAGAAAATTTGAACTAACATATAGATGATTGAAGGCCTGTTGACAGACAGCAGAGTTTCTGAAAGAAGGGGCTTTGGGAACCTGGGTGTAGGCTCAGCTGGCTGATCCTTCCCCTTCCAAACATCGGGATTCCATACAGGCATCAGTGCTGGTTCTAGCTACTCCATCTGCCATCCAGCTTCCTGCTTGTAGCTTGGGAAGGCAGTGGTGGGTGGCCCACAACCTTGAGAATTTGCACTGGCTCCTAGCTTTAGATTGGCTCAGCTCTGGCCATGGCAGCCCCTTGGGGAGTGAACCAGTGGATGGAAAGTCTTTCTCTCTTGTTCTCTGCTTCTCTCTGTAAATCTGCATTTCCAATAAAAATAAACAAATATTTTTGTAAAGGGGGATATAGGTAAGTTTTTTTTAAAAGATTTATTCATTTTTATTACAAAATCAGATATACAGAGAGGAGGAGAGATAGAAAGATCTTCCGTCCGATGATTCACTCCCCAAGTGGGCGCCACGGCCAATGCTATGCCGATCCGAAGCCAGGATCCAAGAACTTCTTCAGGTCTCTCACATGGGTGCAGTCCAATGGCTTTCGGCCATCCTCAACTGCTTTCCCAGGCCACAAGCAGGGAGCCGGATGGGAAGTGGAGCTGCTGGGATTAGAACTGGCGCCCATATGGGATCCTGGCGCATTCAAGGTGAGGACTTTAGCTGCTAGGCCACGCCGCCAGGCCCGGGATATGGGTAATTTTTATGCGGTCACACAGTGTAGTACTTTGGACAAGAGATGCCATCTGATGGGTTTTAAGTTTTTAAACAAAATTTAAAATTTTTATTGGAAAGTCAGATTTACAGAGAGAAGAAGAGACAGAAAGGAGACAGAGAAAGCTCTTCCTTCTTCTGGCTGACTCCCTAAATGCGTAATGGTCGGAAGTGAGCTGATCTGAAGTCGGGAGCCTATCTGTAGGTTTCCCACATGGGTTCAGGGGCCCTGGGCTTTGGGCCTTCCTCTGCTGCTTTCCCTGGTCATAAGCAGAGAGCTGGATTGGAAGTGGAGCAGCTAGGACCAGTGACCATATTGGATGCTGGTGCTTGCAGGTAGGGGATTAGCCTGTTAAGCCAACATGCCAGCCCTACCTGTTAATTTACTTACACAATTCTGACAAAGGCAGGTACTAGATACATTTCATTATATGGATTTGATATGTCTATAAAAATTAAAGTGTAAATTGAGTTTATTTAAGGCAAAATATGTTGTGATCCCTTTAGGGAAATGTTACAGGAAATTATAGAGTCAAAGAAACCTATTCAAATGTAAATAATGCTGCTTTGGTTTGTAACTATTACCCCACAAGAGGGAGGAACCAGGAAATTGTTGTATAACTTCCTTCCACCTCTTCTGTGTAAGAAAATTCTTTTTATTAGTGGAGAGTTCAGCTTGCTGCTTTTTTTTGTAAGTTATTAATTGTTGGGAAATTATGGTAATACCCTAATTGAGAATGTAGGTTACTGTGATTCTGTGAGACAGGTATTTAATAGCTGTTCATTATTTTCAAAGTATTTGATAAAATGCTGCAGTCATGCATGGGCCAACGCCGTGCCATAGTGCGCTAAGCCTCCACCTGTATGGGTGCCAGTTCAAATCCTCTCTGCTCCATTCCCTTCTTTGTGAGACACGTATCCTCCTGACATTGTGTCTTTTTGACTTACTTGTAAGCCAGTCACATATATGTAGTAAGTTGCTTGTAATTTTGAGGGAAAGTTTATGAGATTAGAAATGAGAAACTTAAAAAGTTTTATCTCCCTCTTAAGATTGCCTGAATTTAGAAACTGGATTTGTAATTTGCATTGAGCATATTTTGGTAATCCAGGATAGTAAAAAGCATGATTACGATTCACCAGGAGATTGCAGGGATATAAATGTGTGGGTAGATCAGAGCACTCCTGGAATGAGTGGAGTCCAGTAGGTGGAGCCTCCTTGGGCTCTGTAGGAAGTTGGGATTCTGACTACCCTACAAAGAAACCCAGTAAGGCCTGTGAGTGTGCCATCTAGTGGTTGCTCAGAGCAAATACAGATATTTATTTAGCTGATGTCCTTAGCAATTTTTAAACCTGAAATTGAAACTAATTCTTTATCTGTGTCTCCAGTTGTCTGAAAATGCCTATCTCTACATTAAGACAATTTGGTCTTTTGTTCATTGATTATAGATGTGAACACGAGCTCATACCTGTGTGTTCTCATGGTGGTAATGAAGGTCATCAGTGAAGTTGGGCAAAAACATTTTAAAAAGTATTTAGCAATGGTATTGATTTTCGGCTAGGAGGGAGTAGTCTCTTCAGCATTTAACAAAATATGGTAATGCTGAGACTTTCTCAGGAGAAAAACAAGATGACTTAAAAACTAAATATTCTGTTATTGTTCCTATGGGTTGTGCCTCTGTACACAACAACACACATTCCCTTGGCCCCCAGAGGGCGGGGGGCCTTCTGTTATCTGAAAGACCTGCCGTTCTTTTTTTATCTTCACATTGCTGCTCATGGGTGAATAATGAAAGTTTGGTTCTGTGATTGTAATTCTAACCATGGAAAATATAAGTGATGGCATTTTTCCTTTTATGGAAGCAATAATCATGTTTGAAACCCACCCTGTAGACCTACCTGTGTTTTGCTAGGGATAGTATGAGCCGCTTGAACTCTGACCTAAGCTGGGCGGTGTTACCAGTACTACTACCTGTCTGTCGGATGATAAACTTTAAGAAGGGGAGTCAGGACAGCAGGAAGTCATGTCAGACTCACCGAAAGGACTTGTGTATTTCTGTTGAGCTATTTAGTTGTTGATTTTTGCTACTATTGAAAAATTTTTCCCTTTAATTTCAGAAAATAAAGCAGTTGGAGTCATGAAGTCGGGCCATGTGTTTACAATTGAGCCAATGATTTGTGAAGGTGAGAAAAAATGAAACGATGCTTTTAACATTTTCAATTGAAATTTTATCTTTTTTTGGTTACTTATCAGAATAGTGATCTGTTCTGTTTACTTGCTTTTCTTCCCCTTTCGTTACCAGTCCTTTTCTCATCTTGAACTTGGTGCGGTTTCATCTTGAAAACTGAAAATTTATTTTATTTTTATTTAGTTAGGTTTTTTTTGAGATTTATTTATTTATTTTTATTGGAAAGGTGGATATACAGAGAAGAGGAGAGACAGAGAGGAAGATATTCTGTCCGATGGGTCACTCTCTAAGCCGCCACAACGGCTGGACTGAGCCAATCTGAAGCCAGGAGCCAGGAGCTCTTCCAGGTCTCCCACAGGGTGCAGGGTCCCAAGGCTTTGGGCCATCCTCAACAGCTTTCCCAGGCCACAAGCAGGGGGCTGGATGGGAAGTCGGGCTGTTGGGATTAGAACCAGCGCCCATCTGGGATCCCGGCGCGTGCAAGGCGAGGACTTCAACCACTACGTTATTGCACTGGGTCCTGAAAATTTATTGTAAGAGTTGGAAAGAAAAAAATGCTGCCTTTGTGATAGTTCTCCCGCTGCCAGTGGATGCTGAAGTGCTTGCATTCTGGTCCCTTTTATTAATGATCCATCACAGGGTACATCATGCTCCGTGTCCAGCATCAAGCCGATGTAGCAGGACTTGATTTACAAGGAGGGAAATGAGAAGGAAAAAAGAAGTATACCATCTACTGAACCAACCACCCTGGACAGGTGTGGTTAGCTGATTTGATTTTGAATAGTTAGTGAGATGGCTGTTGTTGCCATTGGACAGGGATGCAAGCTGATTCTTGAAGAGTGTAAGTGACTTGGCTCCGGTCACTGACTTAGTCTGTGTGGCAGAATTTGTTGGTTTCAACTCATGAACTCATATTTGAAAGAGGGGCATTTAGATATTGCATCTCTTGGTTCACTTCCCAAATGGCTGCAGTGGCTAGTGCTGACTTAAGCTGAAGCCAGGAGCTTCTTCCTGGTTTCCCACATGATTGTAGGTGCCGGAGTCCAGCTCCAGCTGAGTTCGGAGCTCGGGAAGGGTGCATGGAGTCGGCGATAAAGAAAGACACGGACATCGTCACTTTGTGCGCTCTTGCTCCAACTTGAGCTTCAGAAAAAGCTGTCCTTTTTATTTACTCAGACACATTACAAGCCTCTACACAAACAACTAATTGTTCTATTTTTACTTCAAGACTAAGAGGGCATGTACAGACGTTTGGTCATTCTGTCTACACTTAAGGGCTAAGCACATGCCCCTAAAGATAATTCTGCCAAATTCTGTATTCATATTCTTCAAAGCAAGCCATTATTCATTCTTCGGTAGTAGCCATGGAGCAAAAGCCAGGACTCCAAGGCCAAGGCACATGCGATTACCTGCTAATTAGTAGTTCATTCTTACCACATTGCTATTTCTATAATTTACCTATCATTTAATGGGAAAATAAGTTACAAAGGAAAAAACATAAAATCTAAGACAAAAGTTTCAAATATTAAATCCCCCTACAATTATAGGCTCTACAACCCCATAAACAATAAAACAATGACTAAAAGTATATTTCCTTAATAAAAGCATCCTTAATTCCTCTAGCTAAAAATTATAAAAGCAGCTAAAACAATTACATTTTCTATGCTGCGAAAGAATTGCAAAGACGGGCTAGCCTTTGAAATAACAATATTTATTGCCATAGCAGTTTCAGCTCTCATTGCCATCACTTGCATTAAAATTTAGGATATTTATTAAGTCCTTTCCCAGAAGATATGCTACATGTCTGGGCCAGATTCAAAGGCAATGGTTAGCACACAATAAGGTGTCCAGAAATGGCGTGGGCTTAATTGTGCTCCTATGTGTAAACTGTCAAAGGCTCACTCACCAAGACATTATCAGTGACATTAACTCTCAAGCTCACATTGGTTGCAAAAGCCATCCCACAGGGGCAAAAAACAATGCCTCAGTAGATTACAGAATTTTTAGTGGGGTGCCTGAGTGTCCATGCAAACAGGAGGTGAAACAGCGTCAAGGTGGTCAGAGAGAAATCCGCTGGGCCCTGCCGAACAGCTGGAAGCTCCCCTGGGCCCTGCCAAACAGGGGAGCTGTTCCCTTCACACGTTTGTGTCATCTGAACCTACTGCATGGACCCCAGCATGTAGGGGCCCAATGACTTAAGTCCTCTGTTGCTTTTCCAGGCGACATGCAGGGAGCTGGAAGGGAAGTAGAGCATCTGGGACTTGGCCAGCACCCCAGGTGAAAGATTAGGTTGCTACACTCTGACCCTTCATAAGCTATTCTTAACTCTTACGGAATGGCAGGCTGTCACTACGTGGAAAACATGACAGGGACGTCTCTGTCCTTGGCAGCCTAATTAGTTCCCACTGTGATTATTCCCAGAGGTAGGCATGTCACAGTGAAAGCAAAGTTGGCTTTTTGTGGTTCTCATTATAGCAGTGGGGGCCTGTAATAATGCTTGTGTGTCCTTTGCTCTACATTAAATGACATTAAGGAGTGACTTCCATTCTCTTACTTAGAAGTGAGTCAGTGAATGCAGCCACAGTGTGTGAGCAGGGCTCGGCCAGGGCGTGAGTGCCTGGGGTAGTGTCTAGAAGTCATCCTGCTGCTCTCCTGATTCTGTATGGCCCTTTTCCGTAACATACAAATTGTAATCCTTGTCCTGTCAACGAGCCCAGGACTGCTGTAAGAAATGGGATGGTTTGTGTTTGTAGGCCGCGCCTTGCGGCCTTTAAAGAATTACACAAAGTAAATGTGAGGCCATGTTTCTGTCATCCTTCCGGAATAAGAAGATTCTTGTGAGCAGCCAATTGTAAGATCAAGTAAGTACGTCAGCAGTGGGAGGAAATTGTTTTGGCGGTACATTAAAGTACTTCAGGAAATTCCTGGAAAATTGAATTAAAAGCTGTTTTTGTACGGGAAGTTTTGAAATCTGTAATTTTTTCATAATATGAATCTTTTATGAATTTTTGGGAGACTTTTATGCATGGATTTCAGAATTTTTTGCACAAAAGGAAACATTTTAATTCAACTTTGCAGGAATATTCTGTAATTCCCACATAGTTTCATTAACTGGCACCTGATTGGTGAAAAATAGTTTGCCATTTCCAGGAGTAAGCAAGTATGTTTCTGTATAACCAGCTTAGTCATCCAGTTACCACACAATAGGGGCTGACATTGTGGCATAGCAAGTAAAGCTGCTACTTGCAGTGTTGGCATGCAGTTTGGGTACTGACTTGAGTTCTGCTGTTACTCTCCTGATTTAGATCCCTGCTGATGTCCCGGGATACTTGAAAATGGTCCAAGTGTTTGGATCCCTGTTTCCTAGGTTTGGCCTGGTCTAGGGCTGGCTGTTGTGGCCATTTGGGAGTGGACTACTGGATAGACGATCTCACCTTCCTTCTATGTAACTTTGATTTTTGTACTTTTAATATATGGCATGTATTTCACAGCAACTTAGCTAGGTTTAGTCTCAGCTGTGAAATGCAAAGTTTTCAATTCCAAAGATCATGGCTAAATATGTTTGACTTGACATTACTGAAGAACCTTGTCTTTTAAGAGCAGGAACAGGGCTTAGCATGGTAGCCTAGTGGCTAAAGTCCTCACCTTGCATTTTCTGGGATCACATATGGGTGCCAGTTCTAATTTATTAGCAGCCCCTCTTCCCATCCAGCTCCCTGCTTGTGGCCTGGGAAAGCTGTTGAGGATGGCCCAAAGCCATTGGACCCTGCATCCGCGTGGGAGACCCAGAGAAGGCTCTGGGCTCTTGACTTTGGATTGGCCAGGGTCCAGCCATTGTGGCCACTTGGGGAGTCAATCATCAGATGGAAGATCTTTCTCTTTGTCTCCTCTTCTCTAATATCTGACTTTCCAACAAAAAAATCAATCAATTAAAAAAAAAAAAAAGAGCAGGAGCAAATCAGAGTTCACTGTGTCCCAAATCCACCTGTATAAAGGTCATTACATCTGAAATTACTCATCCTTGGCTGTTGAACAAAACATGGACTGACTTTAAGATGCTTTCTGTTTTCTTCCTAGCTTGGAATTTGATACTGAAGTCTGCGTTCTGGGATTTGGGTGTGTGCCATTGATGTTTTAAGTAATACGTTTTGCCTGAAGATTACTCATACTAAAGAACATATTGATTTTTTAAAAATATTTATTTATTTTTATTGGTAAGGCAGATATAGAGAAGGGGATACAGAGAGAAAGACCTTCTGTGTGCTGATTCATGCCCCAAGTGGCCACAACAGCTGGAACCAGGAGCCAGGAGCTTCCAAAGCCAGGAACCAGGAGCTTCTACGGGGTCTCCTGAAAGGGTGCAAGGCATAGACTGTAGCCACCAGGCTGTTGTGCTGGACCTTGAATTTTGGGGGAAGAGTAGGGCCTTTAATTTTTGAAACAGGAAAGTCTTCGTAAATACACCTTTACCAGAGTTGCTGCCCTCATTCTACCTTAGATTGTCTTGTGTCTTAGTTGTCTCCTCACTCTGCCTTCTGTCTTCCCCTCTCCCTGACTTTTCTGTTGTCATCTTGCAACTGCCTTCACTGGCCTTGTGCTCTCCTCCTGTAGTCTCAGCTCATCTCTCTTGCCTCCTCCTGTTCTCTGCCTTGCCATCTCTGTTTCTTTCTCTTCACCCCTCTTTCTGGTAACACCATTATTCTACAAACATTCTGCAGTGTTATCTGTTCCTACAACTTGATGGTAGGCCTGCCATTTAAAAATTATAACAAGAATTAACTTCAGTAATAATATAAAAATTTGGGCCTGGCACAGTAGCCTAGTGGCTAAAGTCCTTGCCCTGTATGCACTAGGATCCTATATGGGCTTTGGTTTGTGTCCCCACTGCTCCACTTCCATCCAGCTCCCTGATATGTGGCCTGGCAATGGCCCAAAGCGTTGGGACCCTGCACCTGCATGGGAGACCAAGAAGAGGCTCTGAACTCCAGGCTCGTGGCTTCAGATCAGCTCAGCTCCAGTGATTGTGGCTGCTTGGGAAGTGAACCAGCGGATAGAAGATCCTTCTCTCTGTCTCTGCTTTTCTCTGTAGTTCTGACTTTCCAATAAAACAAATAAGCTAAATGCATATATATACATATATATATATTTAAATTCAAATTATGGAAATAATTTCACAACATACACAGTCCATGGTTTGGTTTGATGACAGAGTTACGAATAGCAAACAGTAGCAAAGTCCAGGTTGCTACTGTGAGTGCTGTGCATGTCTCCCAAAATGAGACCCAGTTTTTTATTTTGGAATTAGCTTTTTTGATTTGGTATTTGGATATATAAAAACCTGTACATTTTCAACAGTCAAGAAGATGAAAATATCGTGAGTTCACTTGTACAAAAGTTGGGAAGGCTTGAGCTAAAGCAAGTGACTTGGCAAATGGGATCGTAATGATCAGGTTTCTAATCGTTTTTCTCCTTGATGAGGCGCTTCCTTTGAAAGCTAGTTTAGAAAACTGAGTAGCGGAATTAAGCACTTTGTTTGCTTGTTTGTTTCAGGTGGATGGCAGGATGAAACCTGGCCCGACGGTTGGACTGCAGTGACGAGAGACGGAAAGCGCTCTGCTCAGTTTGAGCACACGCTGCTGGTCACAGACACTGGCTGTGAGATCCTGACCCGTCGCCCCGACAGTGCGCGGCCTCACTTCATGTCCCAGTTCTAGCTCCTCGCAACATGACATCCAACAGCTCTGTAACACACTCTTACTGTACTGTGCATTTTATTGAAAGTACAGAAGGAAGAGGAAATTTTTTTACAACTAGTTTTGTTTTGACAATAGATTTAAAAAAAAAAAGACTGCAGCATTTGATATGTGTCCTCAAGAACTTGGCTTGAATCGGAACAGGCTGAGAAGAATAAATAAAACCTTGCTCAACTTCTCCCTGCCCCCATCTCTGCACACCTGTTTTCTCCTTTGTCCTTTAAGCACTTTTACTTAAACCTGCCTCTAGTTGCTTTTATCACTGCTGCAAACCAACCATGAAGAGCCAGCTGCTTTCCAGGTGAATGTTGAAGATGCAAATCCTTGAAGCTTTTGTCATTTCTGTTTAGATTTTTTTTTTTTGTATTATGTATATATGGAAATATATGGATACCTTTAAATTCCATAGACATAACGGCGGAACACTACGTGACCTGGAGTTTGTGCTGATTCTGCTCAGTCAGGGTTACCTGCTGTCGTCCATGGACCCCTGCCTTGCAGTGACCTGATTCCCACTTGGAGAATTGCCCTCCCTTGTGCTAATTACCCCTGCAAATTGTGCATGGGGAAGTACTCACGCAATGTGATCTTCTCACCAGTGCAGGCCTTGTGTGTCTAAATGAATGTGGGCAAATTCACTTTTTTAAAAAGTGTGTCAGGCTTTTTTAGAGTCTAGTTTATGGCAGAAACAGCCATGCTCCAAGTGGGGGTTGGCTGCTACATGACATGAGGGTTTTGTGATATACTGCTAATTCAGATTTATTCACTCAGAAATGGGAGGAAAGAAACCCTCTGGGAAGAGGGGACTCTGCTTTATCTCAAGGGTAAGTTTTGGAAATGCCGAGAGGAGGGTGGAGGTTGCAATTGGAAGGGAGCAGGGAGCACTCTGACATTTCGCCAGCTGTGAGCACAGTGAGTCAGCTAGCTGTTCGATTCTAACAATTAAGAAGTCAGGTAAGGTGAAAGGAACATGCTTAGTACTGTAACCTTGCAGAAGAGATGCAGTGGTCTTTGTGTGAAGACACCACCTCAGCTTTAGTTAGTTGAAAAATGACCGCAGCTGCCTGATACCTTTTTGTTCCTTTCAACAATTGTCCAAACAGGATTGTTTGTGTAGGGAACATATCAGATCATAAAGTCATCGTCAATGCAGTGTACTTTATTACTGGGTCTCTGATGACTATCCTGTAATGCAGTTTGATACCACTGACATGTTATACTTGTAAGAGCACATCTTTCCCAGAGTGCCTCAGACCTTATTGCTTTAAAAGAATTATGACAATGTTTTCATTACTTTTATTATTTTAATGATTTAGTAAAGTGACTGAATCTGGTAGACTTTGGTGGGTGATGTTTTTAACAGACTGTGCTAATTGTGAATGGACTGCCTTGCAATATGAATATTAATGTAATGTGTAAAGGGAGATTAAAGAGTTGGACTGATTACCCCACCATGCAGGCATCAGCTCTGCTGCATTTGTCTGAGTCTCCAAAGGGCAGGGTGGGCTTGGGGAGGCTAATTGCATCATCTGAAATAAACTCAGGACCATTTCAGTGAAAATCCTGTTTCAGGTTTGTGACTACACAGTTGTGGAACTATGCTGAACGTCTCAGTGTCTGCCAGCAGTATTTGAGGGACAGCCATGTTTTTGAGCATTTGTACAACAGGATGCTACCTAGTTAGTGGTTTTTTTTGATTCCACTCCCCTCTCCCCAGTCAGCCTTCAGGGGAAAAAAAATGTCGAAAGGGGTGAAAAACTACTTAGGGAGGGAAAGCTGGGGGAGCGGCAGGGAGGGGGAGCTAAGGAGAGATAATAATCATTTGAAAAATTGGTGAACCCCCTCCTCCCCAAAAAACGGGGATATACCGAAAGAGGGGGTTGGAGTGAGGAGTTGGGGGAAAGAGAAAAAAGATTTATGTGTGTGTTTATTGGGAAGTCATATATGCAAAGAAGATAGAGAGGAAGATCTCAGTCCGCTGAGTGACTTCCCAAGTGGTCACAATGACTGGAGCTAAGCCAATCTGAAGCCAGGTGCCAGGAACCTCTTCTGGGTCTCTGCGTGTGGGCAGGGTCCCATGGCTTAAGGCCGTCCTCAACTGCTTTCTCAGGCCACAAGCAGGGAGCTAAATGGGAAGCAAAGCTGCTGGGATTAGAACTGGTGGCCATATGGGATCCTTGATGCGTGCAAGGCGAGGAATTTAGCCAGTAGGCTATTGTACCAGGCCCTGAGAACCTTCTTAAGGAAGTAACTGTATGATTTTTCTTTAAGATTTGTTTACTTTTATTGGAAAGGCAAATTTACAGAGAGAAAGAGATATAAAAAGAGCTTCCATTGCTGGCTTGCTTCCCAAGTGGCTGCAACAGCTGAAACTGAACTGATGCTGAGCCAGGAGCCTCTTCCGGGTCTCCCATGCAGATCTGCAGTGTCCCAAGGCTTTGAGCCATCCTCTACTGCGTTCTCGGGTCACAAGCAAGGAGCTGGATGGAAAATGGAGCAGCTAGGACATGATCCACTCCCCATATGGGATCCCCATGTTTGGAGGTGGAAGATTAGCCAGTTGAGTCATAGTGCTGGACCTCCTGGAAAATATTTAATGAAAAAAATAAATTGCTGCACTGGTGAGTAGCGCCTTTCTTGGTTTGGGGAATACAAATATACTACAATTTTGTGTAATTGTATATGTCTATTAAATTTATTAGGCTCATATGACAAAACATCTAATCCTATCAACTTTTTATATAAGATCAGTGTTTTTTTACGCTCACTTTTTAAAAGGATATTTATTTTCATAAAGACACAGGAGTACAAACACAACGTCCAGCCTCTGAATCACTTCCCAAATATTTGTAGTAGCTGCAGCTGGGTCTGGCAAGGACTAGGCTGGAGCCAGGAGCCCAGAACTAAGTCTAGGTTTCCCATGAGGTGGCGAGGGCCCACGTAATTGAACATGTTCTGCTGCTTCCTAGCGTGTGCACAAACAGGAAGTTGGAATGAAGAGCATAGTTGGAACTCAAAACCATAGTCTTGACATGGATGCAGGTGCTGCTTGGAACTCCAAAGTGGCATTTTGAGTGCTGAGCCAAATGTACTCTATCTGCATTGACATGTTTTTAAATGCGATTTATTTTTTTTTAAAAGGCTGAATTAGAAAGAGGAATCTTCCATTCACTGGTTCACTCCCCAAAAGGCTGCTTCAGCCAGGGCTGAGCCAGGCGAAGTCAGGATCTTAGAGCCCTATCTGGACCCTATATCATGTGGATATAGGGTCCCAGTCTGCTGGGAGCGGGATTAGAAATGGAGCAGCTGGGACTATAATGAGTGCTTGTATAAGATGCTGGTGTCATGAGCAATGACTTCACCTGCTATGCTACAATGCTGGTTCCCTAGAAAAAATTTTTTCAAGGTAACATTTGAAGTTTGTTAAAGTGGTGAGGGGATTACAGGCACATACGGGAAATGAATAGGGATGGTATGGGTCAGGAGGGGAAAGGCAAATGAGTTTCTGTCTTCTCTTCTGTGCCCATGGGAGAAGAAAGCATGCTGTTTTCCTGCTACCACACTACACGTGTGCCAGGGAATGGGAATGATCTCATGTTGTGTCCAGATCCTGGTAGAGCCAAGGGATGGAAAGGGTTACTTGAGGGGTGGGTGGAATTTGGATAGAGTGAGGAAGGGGCACCTCCCACCTGTGACCCTAGACTAGTTGCTAAATTGTCCCATTTCATTCCCTCATCTAATGGGTTTTTCCCATGAGCCAGATTCTTTCAGTGCCTATTGCTGTGCCTCCCACATCATTTTGATTGCTCTGAGAATTTGCTGGCTGCTTCGTGGTAAATTTAATCTATACCACCACAAATGCTTCACTATCCTCTATGTAAAAAATTTAAGACCTATTGACTTTCCATGACTAGCTCTAACAGAGTGTCTGCAGACTTCGGTGCTTGCTGTAGAACTTGGTTTGAAACATTGGTCAGCATACTTATCTTTCTACCCTTTGAGGAACTCGAGGTCTTTGCATCAGAAAGCAGTCTTATCTTTTATGTGCACCTAAGCGTGTTCTTCACCTTTGCACAGCCATGGAGGTGGCCTAGTCATGCAACATGTACAATGAGGCCAAACCACATGTTCATGGGCTCTGTAACCCAAGATTAGAGTCCTGTCAGTATGAGTCAATCATGTGATTCAAGTATCTGACCCTTGGCGAGACCCCCTACATAGCCCACCCAAATATATAGTTCTCATGCATGCCAGCTGGCACAAAAACCTAGGGAGACCCTCCATACCCTCCAGTGCAGCCCTGGCTCTCATGTGAAGCAACAGGTACAACAACTTGACTGCCCACCCACAGCCTTGGCTCTCACAAGTACTGATGGGTGCAGTGACCTGGCTCAGCCATCCCAAGCCCTGGATTTCATACATAGCAGTGAGTGCAACAGATTGGTAGGCCCACCTACCCTGCCCATCCCAAACCTGGATTTGGTGTGCACAAGCAGGTACAGTGGCCTGGCCAGACTTGAAGCACCAGTTCTGTATTTGCTTCCACTCATCCCACAAACCAGCCCTGGTTCTCACACATTGGTGGGTGCAGCAGGCTGGCTTGAGGAGACCTACGACTGCAGCTCTGTCTACATCAAAAGCCCTCAGTGGCTCCCACGCCAGACTAAGTACCCTGGCAAACAGGGAGTAGTGGTTTGTTGTCCCCCTTCTCTTCCAGGTTTAACTTTAAAAATTAGAAAGTGACACTAGCACAGTGCTATGGTTAACACAGAGTTAGTATGAACCAGGCCCAGAAATGCTAGCCAGCTGTTGCCTGCTTTCCTCCCAGCAGTGTTAACACTTGCCAAGGTATCTTGTGCAACGTAGGACTTTGTATGGTCTTTTTCATTTGTAGTTTAGAGACAGAATTCACTTGGTAGGGTTCTGTGAATTTATTACCTAAATTTCTCTAATTTCCTAGAAAGTATTTGATGACAAAACCTGATCCTACATGTTAATTAAAACAACACTGGTGGATTCCAAAGTTAGTTATTTTCCCTAAGTCATCAAAATGGCTTCAGAACCCACGGAACCATGACTTTATTTTCTTCATCAGCCTAGTTGGTAGATTGTCAGTCAAGCAAAGTACTAAAGTATTCTATGGTTGTAAAATGTTTATCCCTCCCAAAATAAAAACTGAGAATTATCAGTTAAGAGCCATTTTGATTTTAAATAGCATAAATGTGAGTAGTACTGTGTATATTTTTGAAACAATTCATATATTTGGAAAATTATACACAATAGTAGCTGATTCCACAATAGAATTTTAGCCATAACATAGGTTTTCCTCATCTCCATTTAAAATGACCCCTTCGGGGCCCAGCTCAATGGCCTAGTGGCTAAAGTCCTTGCCTTGAATGTTCTGGGATCCCATATGGGCGCCGGTTCTAATCCTGGCTGCTCCACTTCCCATCCAGCTCCCTGCTTGTGGCCTGGGAAAGCAGTCAAGGACGGTCCAAAGTGTTGGGACCCTGTACCCACGTAGGAGACCTGGAGGAGGTTCCTGGCTCCTGGCTTCGGATTGGCTCAGCTCTGGCTGGTGTGGTCATTTGGGGAGTCAATCTTGGGATAGAAGATCTTCCTCTCTGTGTATCTTTATAGTAAAAATAAATAAATCTTTAAAAAAATAAAATGACTCCATCTTCCCATACATTCTATTCCATATATTAGTTCCAGGTACATGTATTAAAATAACTTGCCAGACATGCCTGTATATGGACTTGCTCAAGTGCAAATGGCAAGGTAGGTTAACTAGAAAGCAGAAGAGCCTAACATGCTGAAAAAAAAAATAGGAAAGAATAAAGTGATGGTACATTAAAATTTCCAGTTAAACAACGTAAGATACTTAGAGTTCTTAATATTTTGAAATTTAAGATCCTTTAAAATCCATTTTACAAGTCAGAAAGATGCATGATGAAAGTTAATATTAATTTGTGTTAAAATGGTCTAAAGAAAGCAGTTTAAAGATTACTTTGAAAAAGTCCAAAGACTTTTTACAGAGAATTATAATCTTGGACAGTCTGAGTTGGTTGGTGTACATATATGTGGGCAAAGTTTTGTTGCCTTTGATTTGTACCTTATTTCAAAAACTAATTGATTTAGCAACTTTTATAGCACCCTAGATCCAAGATGTAGTCAGGAAGTCTCACAAAGAACCACACCTATTGCCAGACTACAAGTCTGTGAGCCAAGAATCCTTATATACTCAGATTCTTGTAAAATTCTTTGTAAGTGGATTTCCAGGGCAATTGTGTTCTCACCCAGGAAATGTTAATACTTGTTAAACTTGTTGGGTCAGGAAGTGGGCTGGGACAGACATAGATGGAGCTAGGTAATTATCCACTCAGGAAAACCTGAATGACGTCATTTTGGAATCTTGTTTTACATTTTGTAGTGGTGAACACAGTTTGTAATGCATGGTCATGTATGTCTTTCTGCAATACATTGCATAACAAAGGAGAAAGAAGTGCAAGCCATTAACTCTCCTCCACTGCTATCCAGAAGCGAAGCAGGGTCCCTCCAGCTGGGCCAGAAGCTAGGATTAACTTCGCCTTCCTTGTAGATCATTGGGCAGTTTGTCTTCAACCCTTTCAGTAAGAATGGGAGAGCAGCCCTGGAGCATCAAATGCACCAATGATCCACCAAAGGAATTCCTGTCCATCAGTAAAACCATATTGCTGTCAATAAACTATATACTGGTCTTGGAAGCTACAAACTGGGTCATGTGGAAAAAAAAAAAAAAAAGACAATGGATATGGTGAATATAATGCAATGCTTTTAGAATTAAAAAGTATACTATCATGTGGAGTTAAAAAGGCCAGAGTAGTGATGTTAATACTATTTGTTTTATGGGCAGATGTTTGGAATGGCTGTTAAGTCACTTGTTACGATACCTACGTCCCTTATCAGAGTGTATGGTTAAATTTTTGCTGTTTCCCATCCAGTTTCCTGGGAATGTGCACCCCGAGAGGTGGCAGGTGGTGGCTCAGATACTTGGGTACTTGTCACTGTATCTGAGGTCTAGATTGAGTTCTGGGTTTCTGGCTTCTGCTTCGTCCAACCCTACGTGTTGCAGGCATTTAGGGAGTGAGTCAGTGGAAAGAACTAACTCTTCTGCCTAAATACTATTTCTTTTTGGGTAACTTTTAAAGAATAGGCATAAATGATATTCTGCATATGGAAACTAATGGCAAAATACTTATGAGACTTTAGTATTTTTTCTTTTTTTTGTGGCAGGGGGCAGTGTATGCTTTATCTTACAATTCCCTGCACAAATTTGTTTTGGGGGAGATCTGCATGCATTTTTTACCAGAATTTGCTCCACAACCTAAATTTTGAACTCGTACTGCTTGTATGGTTTGCGATAGTGAATAGGATCAGAGGAAAACATATCAGCGTTTATTTTTTGGACCAAAATTACAAAGTGTCACCACTCCATATTAATAGATTTGACTAAAATAAAAACTCTTAAAGGATTGATATCCAGGATAAAGAACTCCTAAAAATTAAAGAAACAGGAGAAATAGCCCAGTAAGGGGCCCCATGGAACACACTGCTCTCCTATGTGCTGTCCCATCAGAACGTGGTCACAGATGGACCCTTCCCACTCCCCATAGGTGGGTAATGACAGCTTCCAATTATAAAGTATCATTTTCGTTTTTTCTTCTCTCCAGTTTATAAACAATTCTGTCATTCACTCATTTGTTGGATGTTTTCATGGAGCAGTCACACTGGTACATGGATATACATCTATTCCCTTACTACCAATAAAATTCCTATTTGCACTAAAAAAATACAATGATCATTAGAATCAAAAATGTAACTAGCAATTGAGGGAAATTTAAACTAATGTCACAATGAAGCACAATTTCATGGAATTTACAAGCACACTGAACAGCCCTGTGGCCCTGTCTGGTAAGGTTAAATGTGTTTATTTTTATTTTACAACCTGCTGGGCACAATGCACAAAATGTTCCATGCAATGGTACACAGTGACAGCTCAGGAAATGCTGCTGTGCCATCAACTGGGAGGCAGGTAAATATGGTAGTCCACAGAACTGCCCACTCTGCTAAAACTGATGTGCAATGATGAGAGAATTTCTATGGAGGGGGGTAGTACAAGCTTTAAAACCTATAAAGCAATGTGAGACTGGAGGGCTTGGGGATTTATACAGTAAAGTTAAGAATGTGTGGAAATGATAAATGCCAAAATCTAATGCCAGTTGAAATTCAGGAGTTCACTTCCCATCCAGCACCCTGCTAACATAACCAGTTAAGCAGCAGAAGATAGTCCAAGTGCTTGGGCTGCTGTCACCCACGTGGGAGACCTAGGTGAAGCTTCTGGCTGTGGAATGGCACAGCCCTGGCCACTGTAGCCATGTGGGTATTGAATCAGCAGATGGAAAATCTGTCTTTGTCACTCTGTGGTTCAGACATCTCTAGCCCTCACCCCTGCAAAAAAGGTACTCTTACAGAAGCAGACTTGGATGCTGATGAAATTTTCCAAAGATAACTGCTAAAATCTGTTCTTCAGTGAAAGGGCCTGGGGACCCTGAAAACCACAGAGGCTGTTCAAGAGACCGGCAGCAGGAACGGCTCATGTCTTTCTTCAGCCCTGTGTTTTCACCTTGCCTTTACAAAAGGCAGACAGTGGGTAGGGGAAACTGAGAATGAACAGAGCATACAACATAGATGACAACTCGCACAATGCTGCAGTGATCACTTTTATTTTGTTAAAAAAGCCAGCGACTGACCAAGTGAAGGACATCTCAGAAAATGGATTTCTGACTTATGTGGCCAACACTATTCCCTAGGGTAGTGAGTGAAGGTCTAAGAGGCTGAGAGCTTGGAAGGACTTCCTCCTGCACGTCACGGTGAGCCAGCACATACGACTTGGGTCCAGGATGGGCACACTCTCCACGGGCATTTAAAACTTTACAACAGTTCGAATGCTGTAAGGGAAGAAGGTGATAAATGCATTTTTAAATGCTGCCTTTATCTTCTGAGATGACTAAAATGGTTATTTTTGGCACTCGCTCCCCAACAAGCCCCAAATCCTTATTACATTCCAGAATACAGAGTGCATTAGTGTTTACCTCTTCCCCGAATGCATCAGTTCAAAGGCTTTGTTAATTTGGTCAAATGACAGAGTGTCAGTGACAAATTCATCAACTTTTATCTTCTTGGACATATAGTCAGACACCAACTTTGGGACACTTTCCACACTCTTCCATCCTAAAAAAAAAAGAAGGCATTCATTTATAGTCATTATTTGTTCAACAGATTTTAGTGTACTCACTACTTAGTGTGTGGAAAAAGACACTGAAGAGAATGAAGCTTACACCTTAAAAACTAAAATTCCAAAATTTGTATGGAATTCAGGAAGAATTCCATTTCAAAAGAGATACAATGTCTGAGTATTCTTATTTTTCTACGTCAAAATTTAATATAATTTATTTAAGGTTCTGGCCAGCTGGAACTTTTAAGTTACCTAGGATAGAACTTGGAGTCTTAGCAACAAACTGGCTTATTAATCTTCTGTTAGATATGGAAGTCAGTATGGGGAATGCTCAGACAACCGAAAATTGATCTACCGCATAACTCAGCTATCTGATTTTTGGGAATATATCCATAGGAGATGAAGTCTCCATATAAGACAGTGACCTGTAATCCTATATTTATAGCAACACAAGCTGTAATAGTGAAGTCATGGAAACAATCCAGATGCCTGTCAAAAAAGGAGTGGATAAAGAAACTGTGGTACCTCTACTCTACGGAAAACTACTCAGTCATTAAAAGGAATGAAATTCTATTGTTTGAAACAAAATTGTCCCAACCAGAGACCATCATGCTCAGTAAAATAAGTCAATCTCAAAAGAACAAATATCGTATATTCTCTCCGATATAAGGTTACCTTTATGCAAAAGACAAGGTCAAAAGATATATAGGTAAGCACATATATACATATATTTATCTGGAGGAACTGTACAATGGAGGCAAGTATACTGTGAAGTAAAGATACACTGCAATAAGTAGCTCTACTTCTGAATAAAGATGGACTCCCACTGAAACTGTTAAATGTTATCTTTACAATAGAATGCTGGAATTTTACCATTGGCTAGATATACAATGTCACGATGCATTTAAGTAGAATGATGGACCTCTGACTGTTGTTCGGACTATACCACTGTACTAATACAGGGGAAGACAGTGGGGGGTGAGGGGAGAGTGAGGAGGCTGCAAGGAAAATCCCTGAGCCTAAGCAATGTATCACGAAAAAAAAATTAATAAAAAAACTTTAGCTCAGTAAGATCTTTAGTAATATTAGATGCTTCAATTTTTATTTGTATTGAATGAATCAACAGACCAACAAAGAAATTTTCCAATCTTTTATGGATTCTCGATGTTTCAAACTTTCTTTGAGGCTTGTTCTGATCTTCTTTCTTACATCCTTTGCTGGTTACTTTTTTCCCTACAGACTGTGGGGATTTTTTTTTTTCTCTTAAATAAAACTTCTATTTACACCTTTGGGGAAGACCTCAGAAGTACTGAGACCCAAATGTCCAGTCAATTTCTCAGCTAGAATATGTGAGGATCAAGTTTTCTTCTCCTATCCAAGTACTAACCAGGCCCAACCCTGCTTAGCTTCCGAGATCAGATGAGATTGGGCGCGTTCAGGGTGGTATGGCCATGGATCAAGTTTTGATTACAGATTATTATAGGACCCCTGACTCAGTCCCCCTGCAGTCTTTCTAATGGCACTATCATGCTTGTGTTGCTATGTTTTCTAAGGTATAAAGCTGTGACATAATCTAGGTTCTGGTAAGCAAAACAGGTTAGAGTGATGTTTTCTAAGGCAAAATCTGTACGATAAAGAAGGAAGGGCCCGGCGCGATGGAGCAAGTGGTTAAGGACGTTGCCTTGCACGCCCGGGATCCCATATGGGCACCGGTTCTAATCCCAGAAGCCCCGTTTCCCATCTAGCTCCCTGCCTGTGGCCTGGCAGGGCAGTCAAGGACGGCCCAAGGCTTTGGGACCCTGCACCCGCGTGGGAGACCCGGAAGAGGCTCCTGGCTTCGGATTGGCATAGCATCGGCTGTTGTGCTCACGTGGGGAGTGAATCATCGGATGGAAGATCTTCCTCTCTGTCTCTCCTCTCTGTATATCTGCCTTTCCAATAAAAATAAATCTTAAAAAGGAAGGAAAACCAGTCAGACTCATTTAAGCAAATGTTCCCAATCTTTTTCTAGCCTTCCAAAAAAGCTGGCAATAGCACGGGCTGGAGGAACTTATTACAGTATTTTGGCACCTTATACACGTGGACCATTCAAACCTCGTATGAGTTTTCTTCTCCAAGAGAATGATGAGGTTTAACTGTATTATTAAAAAGTCTGCAAAAGGGCTTGGCGGTGTGGCCTAGCAGCTAAAGTCCTCGCCTTAAACGCGCCATGTGCTGGGGTCCCGTATGGGCACCGGTTCTAATCCTGGCAGCTCCACTTCCCATCCAGCTCCCTGCTTGTGGCCTGGGAAAGCAGTTGAGGATGGCCCAAAGCCTGGGGACCCTGCACCCGTGTGGGATACCCGGACAAAGTTTCTGGATCCTGGCTTCGGACTGGCATAGCATCGGCCATTGCGCTCACTTGGGGAGTGAATCATCAGACGGAGGATCTTCCTCTGTCTCTCCTTCTCTCTGTATATCTGACTTTCCTATAAATAAATTAAAAAATTTAAAAAAAAAAGTCTGCAAAAACTTCAATTGTCACTCGTTTCCAACAGCGGGGCTGTACAAACATGGTTTGAGGTCTTTTCTGTACAACCACTGGGAAAATTGTTTCCAGCACTCTGCTTGTAGTTAGGCCTAAATACCCAAGTACTGCTTAGGATCCTAAGGAAAAAATGATCTTTCTGGAAGCTGCTGAATTTTGTTGAAAGCTTTTGTCTAGCTTAGTATTTTCAGACACAGTCTTGGTTGCTGCTGAAACCAGAAATATTCATATATGCTCACACCTAGGGATCATTGCAATTTCTGAAAAAATTACTGAGAAAAAGAGGGGCAACCTATTTAAGTTTTACAGTATGAACAATAGTGTGACTGACACTGCTTGCTAACCCTGAACCAGCTTCTCCCTCTGCTCTACCCTCCAATTACTTCCTCATTAATACATTAAAAGAGACACACAGAGAGAGATTACTTATTTAAAAAGGCAGACTAAGTAAGAGAAAAGGAGAGAGAAGGAGAGAGGAAACCAGGAGCCAGGAACTCCGCTTGAGTATCCCATGTCGATAATAGGGCTCAAGCATTTGAGCCATTTTCTGCTGCTTCTCCAGTCACGTGAGTAGTGAGCTGGATGACAAGTGAAGAAGCTGGGGCCTGAACTGGCACTCATGAGATACCAACGCCACAGGTGAGGGTTTAACCCTGCCTCTGGTGTTTTTGTTTCTATTTTAAAGGCTGTGTTAACAACTGGCCAGGGGCTTCAGAAGAAGCTGAGCACCTACCAGTCCCAGGAATAAATACCTCCTTTCAAACTCTTCTATTACAATATCATTGCTGTAACAATTTAGGATGAGAAGTCTGTCCATGAAAATCCTTGCTGCAAGAAAAATGGCCGGGGATAAAAAAATCTGCCAATGAACTGTCAAGAAAAAAAATCCATCTCATCCACGGAGTTACCTCCAAAGGCGGTGCCTTTCCAGGTACGACCTGTTACCAGCTGGAACGGGCGAGTGGCAATTTCTTCACCGGCACCAGCTACTCCAACCACCACGCTGACACCCCAGCCTTTATGGCAGGCTTCAAGTGCTGCTCTCTGCAGGCACAGAGAAATGACCAGAACACAAAAGTCAGTGCATTTTTTGAGAATGCTATGCCTTTCCTCCCCAAAACTTCGAGTCAGGAAGGAGGTGGCAGGGGGAACATGGCTTTTGTTTCTATATAATGGCAATCAATTTTTTAAAAAACAGTAATCAGATATTCAAATTTAACTTTATTCAACAATTATCTTTTAACAAATACATTACCATATATCAACACAAACTAAAAGAACTTAAAGCTTTTACTTGCTTTCTATTCTTCACACTAAATCCTAGTTCGACATTCCAACAACGTTAATGTGTGCAGTGTCCATTCAGTGTCAACTAGCTGTTGCTGTTGACATCATCTACATGAAGAAACTGAAGTTCAAGGAAAAGTGAACTGTTTGCTCAAGCCATTTACTTAGCAAGTGGAGTTACCTAACTTCAAAGTGTACTCTACAACTGCACTGTTTTGCCTTTTAATACACCATGAGATGGATATATTTAGGTGTATCAGAAAGTGGAGACAGGTTTTTTTTCATCTTTCCCTGAGATGGCGTATCCTAATCCCAAATTAGCTTGAATTTTTCTCTTCTTTCATTGGAACAATTGTTATCAAATGAGATTTTTCCTTTGCAAACACAGTAATTTTTTAACTTAATAAACATTGCATTAAAAAAATGCAAGCCCACAAAAAAAAAAAAAAAGAAAGAAAGAAAGAAAGAAAGAAGTCAAGCACACTCACCATTATCTTCACATTGCCAATACACTCAAAGGAATAGTCTACTCCTCCATCAGTCATCTCAACAAGCACTTCCTGGATGGGTTTACTGAAGTCTTGGGGGTTAATACATTCAGTGGCTCCAAACTCCTTGGCTCTTGCAAATTTATCTTTATTGATGTCCACACCAATGATTCGGGATGCACCAGCCACTTTACAGCCCATGATAGCTGCTAATCCAACTCCTCCCAGGCCAAAGACGGCACAAGTAGAGCCAGGCTCCACCTAAATGTAAAGACAGTCAATAAAATAATCCTTGCAGAATGAAGTAGATCTCTAGGGTTTTTTTTTTTAAGCTTTAAAAAAATTTATTTTTAAAAAAAGATTTATTTATTTTAATCAGAAAGTCAGATTACAAAAAGAAGGTGAGACAGAAGAAAGATGTTTCATCTGCTGATTCACTCCTCAAATGGCTGTAACAGATGGAGCTGAGCAAATCCAAAGCCAGGAGCCAGGACCTCCTCTGTGTCTCTCACACAGTAACAGGGTCCCAAGGCTTTGGGCTGTCCTCCACTGCTTTTCCAGGCTACAAGCAGGGAGCTGGATGGAAGTGGAGTAGCCCAGCATAAATTGGTGCCCATATGGGATCCTGGCATATGTAAGGCAAGGACTTTACCCCCAAGGCTACCATGCCAGGTCCAAATCTCTAGGTTTCTAGCCAATGTCACTATTCTAGCAAACCTTTGCTGCACTGAATCATAGGTATAAACTAAACCCCATGCCAATCTCTTACCTTGGCAGTGTTTAATGCAGCACCATACCCAGTAGAAATGCCACAACCCAGAAGGCAGACTTTATCCAAAGGTGCTGAAGGGTCTATTTTAGCCACAGAGATATCAGCTACAACTGTGTATTCCGAAAATGTGCTGGTTCCCATGTAATGTAAGATTGTCTTTCCTTTGCAAGTAAATCTGCTAGTGCCGTCTGGCATTAAGCCTTTTCCTTGAGTGACTCTATGAAAATGAAAAAAGAAAATGGTAGGGTAGAACTAGGTTTCGTAAAAACCAAAAAGAAATCAGTTTTAAAAATAATGACCAACAGATATTCACAAAAATGCAATAAGACCAAAAGCCCAGTTTTAATGTATTAATGAATAATTCAGCACTTTAACCAAGGCCTTTTAAGGAAACTTCTAAGAGATATATAAGCTTACCCATCTTTCCCAATATTCAACAGTCTTTTGGAACTTACACCAAACTTTTAAAGTAGAGATAAAACATTAAGATCAGTTGAAATAAGATTCCATCACAAACCTCTGTGGGTAAACGTAACTTTGTAAGGGATAAAGTCAAAACCAGCAGCTACAGAGGCAGAGGCACCGTTCGTTCACTGGTTCAGGCCTCAGAGGCCCTCATTAACTGAGACTGGCCCAAGCCAAAGCTAGGAGCCAGGGTCTCCATATGGTCTCACAAGTGGGTGGCAATGATCTAAGTACTGGAGGGATCCCATGCTGCCTCGCAGGTGTGCACTGGAGGGCAGGTGGAATCCGAAGCAGAGCCAGGACAGAACCCGGGCACTCGCGTGTGGGATGTGGGGATCTCAACCAGCTCCTTATCTCCTGTTCTAATGCTCACTCCAGACAAGAAATTTCTTCAATTAAAGGTGACATGAGTTGCTTTCTCTCAAAAGTTACAATCACAGAAAAGCTCATCATCATTACCATACCCTATGTGACACAAAATTTTTTCAGACCGTCTTTGAAACTCTCTGAAAAAAACAATCATACATATTTTTTGGCTGTTTGTTAAAATTAACTGGCTTAATAAGTGGAATTTTGCATTACAAATATATAAACTAATTTTGTCAATAGTATTAGAAAACAAACACAAGAACAGATCTGCCAAACAATGCTGCCTGAGAGTATATACTGTTTACTACCACACTGGAGAATTCCAGATAATGCTCCTGTAACTTAGCAACTCCAGGAAAATACCCAAGAGAAAGTACAGCATACATCGATCAAAAGGTCTATGTACTGCTTTTGCAGTCATCATAATAGCCTCAGACTGGGAGCAACCTAAGTGTTTTTCAACTGGAGAATGAAGAGTGGCACTTGGAATGTTAACCATGGTACAGCAACAAAAATGAACTATCAATGTATGCAACAACTTGGCTGTATTACAGACATCAAGAATGGGCAGAAACATGACAAAAGAGAAGCTAATTGCATGACTACATTTATATCACATATTATACTGAAGTAAAGTATAGTCACCTTTGAAAGAGGTAGATACTGACTTGGAAAGGATACAGGGACTTTGTGGAGTGTTGGTGGGCTCCTTATCTAAATATGGTGAGGCTTCTAATTAGTAAGAATGTTTAAATATTCATTAACATGTACAATTAAGATCTGTATGCCATAAATAGTTTATTAAATGTATTATGTCCCACCTTGCCAAAGAAATAAAACACATACCACTTTTTAGCCATACTCCCACTGATAAGCACTTAGATTGCACCTGAATTTGACTTCCCAAAAACCCCATTGTTATGAAAACACAATAGAATATCTTCTCTGTGTCACAGAATTATTTTATCTCTTACAGTCGCTCCACGTATTAACCTTATGAGGTAAATTTTAATTAGTTGGACTTAATGGGCAATAAAATGGATCATAAAAATGATTTCCTTTCATTTCACAAGCATGTCCTTCTATACCACACAATCTGGAAAATTTAGATGAACATTACTGACTCTGGAAAATTTGTCAAAAGAAGACCTGCCCTGAAAATTGTTTTATATCTTTTAAAATTATTACTGTTTCTTATTTGCTTTTAAAGATTTATTTTTAATGGAAAGTCAGATCCAGACAAGAAGAAACAGAGAAAAAGATTTTCCATCTGCTGGTTCACTCCCCAAGAGGCTGCTATGGCCAGAGCTGAGCTGATCTGAAGCCAGGAGTCAGAGGCTTCTTTCAGGTCTCCCATGAGGGGGAGAGTCCCAAGGTTTTGGGCCATCCTCCATCATCCCCCTTCCCCTGGCCATGCCACAAGCAGGGAGCTGGGTAGGTAATGGAGCAGCTGGGACCTGAACCAGCGCCAATATGGGATTCCGGTGGTTGCAAGGTGAGGATTTAGCCACTGTACTATCACACTGGACCCAGCTATCTCTTTACAGCTGGTAATCCCAGGCAAATCCTTATTTTCAGAATCTTAATTTTTCTCACCTATGAAAACAAGAAATTTCAGGAATGGTGACATCACTTTAAAGGTGAAATGAGGGGCAGTCATTTGGTGCATGCATTAAAATGTGTCCTGCATCTTCATCCTCCATCAGGTACCTGCATGCTAATTTCAGCTTTCTGGTAATGAGCACTTGGGATGGTTCACAGAGTGGGGTCCCAGCTGTTTACAAGAAAGGTACCCAGTTCCTGACTCTCTGCTTCAGCGTAGTCCAGCCCCAGCTACTCAGAACGTTTAGGGAGTGAACCAGTTGTGGGAACTCTCTCTCTCGCATCTCAATCAACTAACGTTCTAACAGAACTGAAGTAATGCATGTAAAATTTACATGTTATAATAAAAAAAGAAAACAAACAAGTTACATGTTATAGACTGTCATATAATTTCTTATCATTGCTAATATGACCTCTGGTAAGAAGGAAATTAAAAAGACACTAACCGTATTTTCTGGCAAAGATTCGTTTTTGGATTAAGGCAAAATTTGCACTCTCCACACTGTGGGATGTAAAGTGGAATGACGGTATCACCTGGGAAATGAACGAGAAGACAAGATCCTGAAGATAGCATGTGTTTGCAAGGGCACACATCAGTCCCTGAGACGTCTCGGGCCTGTCACCTGACAGAGCTTTACAAAGTCAACAGCCCCGCTCTTTACAGCCTCACCAACATCACATCATTCGGGAATGTCTGCCTGATCAGGGGGAAAATGGGATTCAGAATTTTTATTTAAATGAAACTCTTAACAGTAACTAGAGAACAAGGAGGTTGTGTGCTTTAAAAAGAAAATAAAACAAAAAAAACATCTCATTGATTTTTTTTCCAAAAATTCTTGCTTGACTTGTCAAAACTGGTTTTGAGGGCCCAGCGCAATAGTCTAGCGGCTAATCCTCGCCATGCATCCACTGGGATCCAATATGGGTGGTGCAGGATCGCATTCTAGCTGCTCCACTTCCCATCCAGTTCCTTGCTTGTGGCCTGGGAAAGCAGTGGTGGGTGGCCCAAAGCTTTGGGGCCTTGTACCCTTATGGGAGATCTAGAGAAGCTCCTGGCTTTGGATCGGTTCAGCTCCGGCCATTGCAGCTACTTGGGGAGTGAACCAATGGATGAAAGATCCTCTTCCATGTATATCTGCCTTACCAAAAAAAACAACACAAAACAAAACTGACTTTTGAAACGTATTTAAACAGTTATGGACAAATGCTAGCGTGAAAATTAAAAAGGCAAAAATTACTCGAATATCTGTGCTTCCCATGCAAGAGGGAAACAAGTCAAGGGTTATTATGTGATAAACTGTTCATAAGTTGTGCACAGCCACAATCATCAAACAAATAATTCAAATTCTGTCCTTACCAGCTTTCAGCTTAGTAACTCCTTCACCAACACTTTCCACAATTCCAGCACCTTCATGTCCCAAAATCACAGGAAAACATCCCTCAGGATCAGCTCCACTCAAGGTATAGGCATCAGTGTGGCAAACTCCAGTGGCGATGATCTAGCAGAGTATCCAAATATAATAATTTACTGGATATACATGCAACTCCGAGTGAGGCAGAGATCAGACGAAAGGCATTTACCTTTTTTCACTGACTTAAAGACATTTCTTTTAACCTTTCTATCATCAGGAATAGATTTTTAGTGGAAATGCAGATTTATAGAGAAGCAGGGACAAACATTTTCTATCTGCTAGTTCACTTCCTAAACTGATCTGAAGCCAGAAGCGAGATCTTCCTGGTGTCCCATGGTATGTACAGGGTCCCAAAGCTTTGGGCCATCCTCTACTGCTTTCCCAGCCCACAAGCAGGGAGCTGGAAGGGAAGTAGATCAGCCGGGACACGAACCGGCGTCCGTATGGGATGCCATACTTAGAGACAGAGGATTGGCCAGTTGAGTCATTGAGCTAGCTCCAGCATATGCATTCTAACAATCCAAATTAGTGGTATTATTTCAGTGATGTACAGAAGCCATGGTACATTTATGAGCAACAAAATATGGCACATTTATCCTCCTTTCCAGTGCATGTTTATAAAGAAAATGCATATGAGGGGATGTAATGCGTACTGTGCCTCCAGGCATGGTGAGATACCATCACCTGTGTGCTAGAGAGGCTGTACCTATCTCTCTGCCAGCTCCCTTGTGATTGCAGGGAAGTGAGATGTCTACATTGGTACTGTTTTTGAAATAAGAACTCTACCTGAATCCGGGGCAAAAAACTGAGGATTTAGTGGAACTCACTCCTTTCTGAGAAAGCACATATAAATTTTACTTCAATAATCACTTCAATCTCTCTAGCTATCAACTACTATATTTCCAAACCACAAAAAAATGCAGGAAGATAAATCCGTAAGTTTATATTTATGCATCTCTGCTTTTGGCATACAGCCCCACTTACAGAGTGACATGCTTTTCCACCTATCAGCAGTTTCCCACGGAAGATGGCTAGAGGCACTGCTCTCCTCACTATATCCTGGACAAATATTATCTTCAGTGGCGACAAGATAATCGGCCCAAGTTCTGAATGAAGAATACCATATAAAGTAACAGATGGTTCTGGAATCCTGGCTCTGGTTTAAAAAAGACCCCCAAAAGTCATTTGGCCTTGGGTTTTGCTACCTCCTAAGTGTGATGCCGAAGAGCATGAGCACTTCCAGACATGGTATATCTGGAAAGTGGATAAAAGGAAGAATATCATGGAAAGACGAAACTGTTACCTCTCCTGCTACAATGCTTTTATTCCCTGGTCAGAGCCCAAGTGTTAAAGTAACTTTAAGTGTTTATTTTATATCTAAATAAGCACAGAGCAAAAAGCTGAAAACATGAAGTTTTATAAACATTACAACTTCCAAGATCTTACTGACTGGCTGCCTTGCATCATCTGCCCCCCTCCAGTGGCAGCCTGTCTGTCACAGCAGAGAAGCAGGGTCCCCTGTACCCTGTCCTCCACTGCGGAGTCAGCTCACTGAAAACTTCTCCCATCAGGTAGATCTCACTTGCTTGTTGCTCTAACCAGCAAACTTTTCTCAAATCTTATTTGAAGTACTACCAGCAAAACAGAACACATTTGTGCATTTATTTCTGATGTGTCACCAAAAAAGTTAAAGTTACAAGATTAGCAAAACAAACAAAAAATACAGGGGTGGGGAAGGTTCTGAAAGTCGCCTGCACAGGATCAGTTGCAGCAATCCAGTGACTCACAAGGATGGCTACCTGGACCAAGAGCAAAACCAGGACGACAGGAAGAGAGTGCCGATTCCAAGGCTGGATGACTTTCAGCACTTTCCCCTGACATTGTCCAATGGGAATTATCCTCTGCAGGCCTCAGGTGTGCTCATCTACCCAGAGACCTCATTTTAACCCTTTTCTTCCAGTGCCACAGCTGAGTCATTACCTTAATTCGTACTTCATGAGCTTTTGGAGGTGCGACCTCTATTTCCTCTATGGAGAGAGGTTTTCCGGCCTCCCAGGCAACTGCAGCCTTGCACTTAATAACCTGAAACAAGAAAAAAAAAAAGGTAAATTGCTTCTCCTCCTAAGCTATTTAATGGTCAATTTAGATATAGAGGAATGTTAATGTTAGAAAGTATATCATAGGTTCACAAAGAAACACCTCTTGGTTAAAATTATATTCATAAAATAGAGAGCCTCTACAATGCATTCTTAAGAGCTGCTTAAGAATACATACTGACGAAGTGGGAGCTGTGAAATGGCAGGTGAGAGCTGCTGCTTGGAATGCCTGCATCCAGTAGCGGAGCTGGGATTGAGTCTCAACTCTACTTCACATCTGGTTTTCTGCTTAAGCGCACCCTGGGAGGCAGCAGGTGATGCCCCAAGTACCTGGGTCCCTGTCATGCACAGAAGAGACCCAGATGGGTTCCTGATTTTGGGCTGACACAGCCCTGGTTGTTGTGGGCATACGGAGAGGGAACCAGTGCTGGAAGATCTCTGGCTCTGCTGCTCTGCATTTCAAATAAATTAAGAAGATCCGGGAGATAAAGAATACTGGTTGAAGGCAGGAAATTGCATAGTGGTTAGAAATCACTCTGGACACCCACATCTCCTACTGGAGTACGTGAGTTCAAGCCTCATCTCTGCTAACAGTAGAGCTTCCTGTTAATGAAGATCTGTGTGCCAGAAGGTGACAACTCAAGTTCTTTGGCCCCTGTTACTGGAATGAATTCCACGGTTTTGGTTCTGGCCTGGCCCAGTTCTGGCCATTGTGGGTGTTTTGAGGAGTGAACCAGGGCATGGAAGTTCTATATCTGTCTGCCTTCCATATAAAAAGGAAAAAGAAGAAGGAGGAGAATTCTAACAGAATCTGATTGAATAGATCCATTTTGGGGTATAAAAAAAATCTGTGCTTTATGTATACTCCACAGAACTTTTTTGTTTATTTCACCAGTTAAATGCAAAGTCCCAGAGTGGAAAGGGGGTCAGGGGATATCAGTGTAGGGAAACTTGACAACACATCAAACCATATCCCTTAAAACTATGACCTAGAAGAGTTGCTACTTGCCACACTTGAAAAACAGTCTGGGCCCGGCGCGGTGGCGCAAGTGGTTAAGGTCCTCACCTGGCACGCCCGGGATCCCATGTGGGCGCCGGTTCTAATCCCGGCAGCCCCGCTTCCCTTCCAGCTCCCTGCCTGTGGCCTGGGAAGGCGGTCGAGGACGGCCCAAGGCTTTGGGACCCTGCACCCGCGTGGGAGACCCGGAGGAGGCTCCTGGCTTCGGATCGGCATAGTATCGGCCCGTCGCGCTCACTTGGGGAGTGAATCATCGGACGGAGGATCTTCCTCTCTGTCTCTCCTCTCTGTATATCCGCCTTTCCAATGAAAAAATAATAAAAATAAATCTTAAAAAAAAAAAAAAAAAAAAAGTCTGTGTGAGCTTGGATGTGAGCTGTAAGTATTCCATATGCCTGCATTTTGAAGACATGGTATAAAAACAGGTCTAATTATCTCATTAGTAACATATTAGAAACCATTAACTACAAAATAAAACAGTACTCTGATTAGACCGGCTTATGTAAATACACCGTTAGAGATTAGTCAGTATGAGGAAGGTGGACAAATGACACATGCTTTTGAAATATGTTCACAGAATACAGGCTGCAAACCACTAGGCTCCCAGCAGACCTAAAAGTCAGTAATTGCAAAGTACAATTTAAGAAAACAGGCACAAAATGCTACAAAAAGCAGGGCAAACAGTGTTATCTCTATTTGTGGGTTTTGAAGCATGTTACTTTTAAACTGGATACTGATTGATGAGGAGAGCATACTTACAAATGAAAACATGAGCAGTTGCTTTTCAAAAAGCTAACTGAAAAACGGAAACAAGAGGACTATGCAAATTTCCATGACCTTTTTGGAGCCCCTTTGTGCACACCGAGAGATTATGAGTGCATGAAAATGAACATGACTAATGGCCCTTGGCACAGTGTGGATTTGAAAGTAAGAAATTATCAGCAGCAGTAGAACAAAGTGCTAAGGAAAAGCAGAATGGCCTGGTAAACAGGCGAGGCTGGGAATGACCACTTTGGAAGTGAAAATATAAATATTAAGTTTGATAATACAAAGAACTGACACTGCACTGCAATCTTTCAATGTACAACCAATTACAAAAAATACATCCGAAAATCAAAATTACAACACTGAGACAATGTAACAAGAATAAATAATCCAGAATTGAAATTTGATGCCTCATCCCTTTGAAAAATATTTGCTATATGCTTGCTTAATCTTTTCCTTTCACTTGCAAATCTAAGCAAGACAAAGCTCCAACTGTAAATCCTAGGGCAACTGTGCTACTTCAACCTCTGAATTATTATAAGAATTATAACTTGTCACTTCCTGATTATACACTTGGTAACAAAAAAATCATGCTAATTTACCAAGTTTGGAGAACAGTTTTAGAGTTCGTCATGTCTTTTAAATTCCAATACTTCAAGGTCACATATATTTTTAGAAAATGTCTATCAAGTTTGCATAGCACCAAAACAACTTTAGACTGATTATTTTCATTATTTGCATATTTCTGCCTTTGGCACCTAATGCCTATTTCAGGAATCTGTCACACTGAAGAGCTGAGGGTCAAAGTCTCCACTCGCTATTCGCGGCCACCAAGCCCAGCCAACCTCTCCCGCTCTAAGTCTGTGAAATGGGGAAGAAACCTCCAGCAGAGCTTGAGAGTATGCATCTGTCGGTAAATCTGGGCTCAGAACGTCTCAGGACCTAATCGCCTTCACAAAACGCACCGCTCCAGTGCAGGCTTGGTTATGAGCCCAACCGATTACGAACCACAGCGACACAGGGGTTAATATCGCCGACTGGCCGCAGCTCCGCTCCGTCGGAGGCATTACCCGGCGCAAGCAGTTTGGCGTAAACAGCCATGGCTGCTGCAAGCCTTTCGTACAAGGAAACAGACCGGCCCTGGTCCGGGCCCCACTCCCGGGTTCTCCCTTCCCCCAGTCCGCTCCGGCAGCCCCGAGAACAGTTAACAAAGAGACGATCTAGAACAAAACTTCCTGCCTTTCCTTCCCGTGCGAGGTTCCCGCTCCGGTAGCGGGATCCCGCCCCGGGCGCAGCCCCGCACGGCCCGGGGCTAGCGGCCTGGTTTCACCTCATTCTCTCCCTGCCTTCGACTCCGGGCCCCTCGCGTGGCGGGATCTACCTGGTTCGCCATGTCCTCCAGCTGGGGTTGGCGCGAGGCGGGAATCCGGGGAGGCCCAGCCGGGGACGGGGAGGTGAGTGGGGCGTGCGTCGGGGCGGGGCGAGGGGCGACGTCCGCCCCGCCCTCCGTGGAGGGGCGGCGCCTGAGGCGAGGCTTCGCGGGGCTGAGCGAACGTTCGACCCACTCGTGCCTGTCTGACAGACCCCTGGCCGAATGTCCTGGCCCGGGGACGGTATCCCAGTGTAATTACTGTGTAGCCACGGTAAATGAGGCTTACAATTTAGGAGTTGTGGAAGGCAAGGGAATGGGAGGCTTGGTCAGGAGCCCCAGAGCAGCCATGAGGGGCCCCACACAGGCCTTTTTCCCCCCTCAGACAACTGCAGCTTTCCCTTCTACACGCCGCGTGAGGGCCCGGGGGCGGGGTGAGTGGGACACAGCCCCTGAAGGAACTCCACCTGAGCTACAGGGGCGGGGCAGAAGGAGGGCTGCTTGTTCTAGAAACTTCCCCATTCTAACTGGTGTGTTGGCGGGGGTGAGGCGGGGGGAGGCGGGGCGCGGAGGGACTTTGGAATAAAAGGGAGGAACTTGGCAAAGAACTTAAGACAGAGTCTCTGGAGTTGGGATTTGCTTGAAGTTTTTGAACAGCTGATGTTTTCCTTTTAAACTCTGAATGCTATGGGTCCTGGATTGTTTTGTTTTGTTTTTTTTTTTAAAAACTCAGCCACCCAGGCTACTCTGCTCTCTGTGCTGTAGTCTTTTCGTGGCTCTTTCCTAAGTACACACTACAGAGATTGTACCCAAGGCCTTTCCCTCCCGTACCCTCTCACCTAAACCATGGTAAAATTTAACTTCTGATTACATAAGAAAGTCTTTTAAACATTTATGAGAAAGTGAAAATATGATTTTGATTTTAGTGCAAAAACATTGTTTTTTAGTGTGTGGAAAATGTTTAATGAAAAGACCATGTACTGATTTCAAAAATCAGTTTTTAAAAAAGATTTAGTCATTTGTATTGGAAAGGTAGATTAGATTTATGGAAAGAAGTAGAGACAGAAAGATCTGCTGGTTCAGTCCTCAAATGGCTGCAACAGCAGGGGCTGAGCAGATCCAAAGCCAGGAGCCAGGAGCCTCTTCCAGGTCTCCTTTGTGGGTTGCAGGGCCCCAAGGTTTTGGGCCATCCTCTTTGTTTTCCCATGCCATAAGCAGGGAGCTGGATGGAAATGGAGCAGCCAGGATGTGAACTGGCACCCATGTGGGACTCTGTGCTTGCAAGGTAAGGATTTAACCATTGAACTACAATGCCAGGCTTTCAAAAAACTTGTGAGCTGAAATGAACTCATACTGTGATTTCAGTTTTTTTGTCCATGAGCTTTTTGATGTACCTTCTTAGAATGTACTGTCCCTAATCTGGATGGCTGTCTTAACCTCCAGGTTTCTCTCCTTAAGGAGTGTGTAATAACATCTTACACCTGTGAGTCCCAGGAATCAGGGAGACACAATTTTGTCCTCTCCCTTGCTCACTGTGTTTGTCTCCAAACCCTAAATCTCTCTTAAATATTGTGTCACACTCTCCTCACAGCTAGTAGCTTGGCTCAGGATCTGGTCATTCCTTACAGGGCTTTCCATCTGATTTGCTTTATGCTGGTTCTAAAGTAATGTCCCTGAAGTGGTCTTTCTGAAACATATATCAGTGCCATTTGCTTTCTACCTCAAAATAGTAGTTTAAATAAGTTAGATTATAAACAAAATTGCTTACCTCTCCTCCTCCTTTCTCTTCCTCGACTTCTCCTCTGCCACCTCACCCCCTCTCCCTTCTCTTCACTTCCCTTTAAGATTTAGTTATTTTATCTCAAAGGATTACAAAGAGAGGGAGAAACAGAGATCTTCCTTGCCCTAAATGACTGCAGTGGCCAGAGCCAGGTCAGTGTGAGGCTGAGGGGGAGTAGATGTCTCTGGGTCTCCGATGTAGGTGTGGAGACTCCCATGCAGGTGGCTACTTCCCCAGACTACCAACAAGTAGTTCTCCATCCCTAGTTTTGCTATTCTTTCACATGTTTTTTTTTTAAAGATTTATTTTATTATTATTATTTTTTTATTGGAAAGGCGGATATACAGAGAGGAGAGACAGAGAGGAAGATCTTCCATCTGATGATTCACTCCCCAAGTGAGCACAACGGCCGATACTATGCCGATCCGAAGCCAGGAGCCTCTTCCGGGTCTCCCACGCGGGTGCAGGGTCCCAAAGCTTTGGGCTGTCCTCGACTGCTTTCCTGGGCCACAGGCAGGGAGCTGGAAGGGAAGTGGGGCTGCCGGGATAGAACCGGTGCCCATATGTGATCCCGGGCCCACTTGCGCCACCGCGTCGGGCCCCTATTCTCTCACATAAGTTTTACAGAATGTCTATTGTTCCTTAAAAGGGCTATCCATAAAAAGACACAAGACTGTTTCATCTGTTGATTCCATGTCTTTTTGTGTGCCACTATTGCTTGGAATGTAGCAAGCACTTTCTGGTGGAAGCTAGGGGTGGGGGAAGACTTAGTGTTGGAGAGACTTAATGTTTTTTCTTCAAAGAGTTAATTTTCTTTACCTTATGGTAAAAATATTGTCCATTTTTGTGGGCGGAGGGAACAAGACACTTTTTTTTTCAAGATTTAATTTTTATTGGAAAGTCAGCTATACAGAGAGGAGGAGAGACAGAGAAAGATCTTCCCATGTACTGATTCATTCCCCAAGTGGCCATAACAGTCAGAGCTGCATTGATCTGAAGCCAGGAGCCCGAAGTCTCTTCTGAGTCTCCCACGTGGTTTTAGGGTCCTGAGGCTTTGGGCTATCCTTGGTTGTTTTCCCAGGCCATAAGCAGGAAGCTAGATGGGAAGTGGGGCCATCAGGGTATGAACAAGCACCCTTATGGGGTCCTGGCGTGTGCAAAGCAGGGACTTTAGCTGCTAAGCTACTGCGCCAGGCCTAACACTTGTATTGTTATAGTAATTTGTTGAATAATAATAGCCGCAATATAGGACTTCTTGTTTATAACGTATCACTGCTCTTCCAAAGGAAGAAGTTGAAAAAACTAAAATTTAACATTTTTTTTTTTTTTGGTCCGTGAAAGAAGTGAGGTCACAGGGGAAGCTGCTGCTTCACACTGGAGGCACAGATGGAGACAGAAAATGGCATACCTGAGCGGAAGCCCGGTCCTTCAGAAACTACTACTGAGGTAGGAAAACCTGGATTATCATGAATGAATTTGTTGGAGATGTATCTTGGATTAGTTTGACAGTTAAAGTTCCAAGGGAACTCTTTGGTAACAGGGGATATCACACTTTCTGAACTTTACTTCCCTAAATTCTCGCATTGAAGATCAGAGACAAATTCACTGCCTCTCCTTCCAGGGAAGTGGAAAAGTAACCATTTTGAAATATGCAGAACCTCCTTTTCTTTATAGGGCTTGCTCTCGGAATAAGGAACTGTTTTGTCTGTGCCTCCCCTGCTGTGATAGAGAGGTAACCAGAGTTTAGACAGACACAGAAAAAGGCTTTACCTAACTCCAGCCCTGTCTACCAATCCTTCACCACTCAAGGGAGTGGACAAAAAAGAAGGAAAGGAAGAAGAAGAAAAAAAAAAAACCTTAAGAACTGTGACGTTCAAAGCCTAATGACACAGGTTCACTGAAAGTTCTCAGTGAGATCAAATCATAAAACTATGGGATACTTCCATTTTTTCTGTACCTAAGCACTGTATTACTGAAGGACTGTTCACTGCAGTCCCTTTACCCAGTATGTCATGTTTGCCTTTCAATCAAGATGTATAAGATACACTAAAAGGAAAAGCCACAGTTTGGATGAACAGACCATGCATCAGAACCAGACCCAAAAGATGGCAGGGATGTTGGAATTATCAGACTGTAATTTAAAACAACTATTACTGATATGCTGAGGCATTTAATGGAAAATGTAGACAACATGAAGCTATAGATAACAAGTTAAAATTTCTGCTCTGTGAAAGACAAAAGGAATTAAGAGTCTGACTGGAATAGCCTGTTGGAGGATGAAGTGGAGCAGACTTAAATGGGAACAATGATACAGGTATGTTTTCCCTGGGTCAACTATGAACTTGGGAAAAAAAAATGAGATGCAGATGTTTTTAAGAGAACCTTACCAAAGAGAGGCACCTGGACATGTCAGGTGAGCTTGTGGGAACTGAGGCTAATGCAGAGTGCTTAACAGTCTGTTGTAGAAAGAACCATCCTTGTAAAGGAATCATTTTTCATAAGAGATCTATGGGGAAGTTGTCTTTCTGAAAGCAATAGTAATCCTCCACTCAGGAAGGAATTCAGTATCTAAAGGTGAAGTACTGGAAAGGCGCCAATGTTAGGGTACAACTGTACTTGATGTGTAAAATGTAGGCTTTGCTTCCAAATATCCCCTCCCGTCTATGCTGGACAATGGCCTGAACGATAAAGAAGGCTTGATAGTCATTGGCAAGTGATGGAAGAGATAGTAACAGGAAACAGGAAGCAACAAACTCCTTGCTCTTGTCCATTACAGATTCTCTAGTTTGAGGCAGTCCTGAACTAGAAGTTTTAAAAATTGATTTAGATGTGTCTTCACTTTTTTCTTTGTGTATGAAGTTCATCAGAAGAGCCGTTATATCTGTCCCTGTTTTCTCTTAGGAAAGAACAAGACCAAAACCAAAAACAAATGTGCCCACAAAATAAGTACATGGTACATTTTTTCCTTATTTGGATGCCTGACATTAAAACTCTCTTCTTATACTTGGGGAATTATCGATCACAATAGTGTGAAAGAAGGGAAGTGAATGTCAGGGAAAATTATCAAATACTTCTTGCCGTCCTAACTTAAATAGCTGTGTTCCTTGAAAGGGCCAAGAAACTAAAGATTTCATCAAAGTTATCAAGAAGTACATTGTTGTGGCATGATTGCTGTTTGTTTCAGTTGGTGAAGAGTGTTAAAGTTGAGATGAACTTGTTGGTTTCTAGCGGAACCAGATGCTGGGATGACAGAGACCAAGTGGTATGACAAGAGAGGAAAAGTGAGCACAATCATTATGATT